TTTTTTTTTTTTTTCCTCATTTCTCCCTTGCAGGGTCAGAAATCGAAGGAATGGCAATCAAAATGGAAATAATACACAGGAGAAATTATGGCTACAGAAAGAAGTACAAAAGTAGATGCCCTTGGTAGGAGGGCCGCTCTATGCTTCCCCCACAGGGATGCGTTCCCCTAGGGTTTTTTATCATTTGTTGTCATGCTACCAGTCGTTTTTATTTTTTTTTATTTTTTTTTTCTTCCCCACTGGGACACAGTAGTGCTAACTTTTTTAAAAATAATGCACACAAAAAAAAAAAAAAAAAAAACTCGCACAGAGAAGTCTATTTGGCTATTTATTATTTTTTTTTTTTGAGTGTAATTTCGTCAGATAGGTGGGGCGCACGGGGAGGATTCCGTCCGTCTTCTGTTCCTTCGTAGGAGTCGCTGTCCCACGGTTATCCCCCCCTCCACGTAGCTCCTCACTGGTGACCTTTTTTTTTATACTCATATACAACTGATGCGCTTTTTCCCTCCATTGCTGCCATCCTCTGCTTGTGCCATTCTCCGATGGGGGGGCTACACATACATCTTACGTCGCGCCCCAATTCATGTACAGCTTCATCGCCCCCAGGAGCTCCTCCGAAATGTCAATGCGCATTGAAATGATGTCCTCCACCTCACTGGCACTCAAATTGTTTTTATTTTCGTCGTAGAAATCCTTAAAGTCTTGCAAATCGTTTATGTTTAGTAGTTCGCACATTTCCAGCAACTTGGTAAACTCCTTCTTCACGTTGATGCTGGTGAGGGATGTGAAGAACAGCATGAGGTTCCTGATGTCGTTGTCTAATTGGACGCAACCGTACAGGCTAAATTTCTTCGTGCGCACGATCCGCTCGATATATTTGCAGATCTGTAAGGGGGGGGAAATTACATCGCGCATGAATGAATATATGTGTGTCGGGGGGGCAGTGGCCGACTTGGCAACGTCGCAGGGGGTGTACACGAAAATGCCGCGCAAATGTATGCACCGATGTGCTGACGCACGCATGCACGGACGTGTTGACGCACCTTCTCAGCCAGCAAGCCCACACATATTTGAAAGATGTTCTGGTTGAAGTACAGCGAGATGTGGTAAGCGATCAGCTTCATCCGGCTGACCAAGGCGTTAATGTAGGGGTCGTTGAGCTGGTAGTAGGCGTACTGCTCACTCGTTATATCGAAGTTCACGCTCTCGATGATGACCAGCTGCCCAACAAAGTGCACCTTCAACATGTTCAAAAGATTTTTACAATTCTCAATACTCAGATTTTCAAAGTCGCTAAGTAGGTTGTCGTAATTGGCAAACGAGTTGGTAAACATGAGGAGATAATTTTGCTTTTCTTTTTCTTTTTTTTTTTTTTTATCTTTTAAAAATTTGTCCACAAAATAATCGTGAATGAATAGTTTGAAGTTTTGTATGTACTGGTGGCAGGAGTCTATGTTGTTCACGCAGTGGGGGTAGCTGAACTTGGAGCTGATGTTTTGGCTCTCCATGTTCTTCCTATCAGACAGAGGGTTGAACAGACTCTCATAGTGTTCCGCTGTTAGATATTCGTAAATGCCCTTCACCTCGCTGCCTCCTGAGGGGTGATCTCCACGTGCCGAGTTATCACCACCCCCTCGTATGGCGCTACTACGGCCACCACTTCCACGTGCAAAGTCATTACGCCCTGTCACCCCCTCCGGTGCTTCACTCCGCACGTAGCTAAGCGAACTGACAAAATTCTGCGCCAGGGCCACGGTACGGTTATTCCCTTGCCCTTCATCCACGTAGTTCGTCTCATCGATACTACCCAGCAGAGCCCTAAAGGAAAATGGCTTCAAATTTGAAACATCATGAATAAACGAGCCATATATATTTTTGCTCGTTTTCAAATTTTCACTGAGGTAATTTTTCAAAGTACTGCCAATAAACAAAATGATATGATTCACCAAAACACACATGGTGTTAATATCGTTCATATTTATACTCCTGCAAACAGATTTTTGGAAAATGAAAAATGCATCATCAAGTAGGGTAGACGTGTACTCATTGCTATTACTACAGTTCATCATTATATTTTCAAAGTTGATTAAATTCTCGTAAAAATCTCTTGCGTCCTTTCCCTTGCTCTTTTCCTCATCTATTAAAGACAGCATAATATCGTCTGTCAAAACAAATGCCTTATCTATGCAGTGCTTGGTAAACATTATCTCATAATCGATATACGAACATAAGCAGTCTTGTATACATTTTACATAAGGTAAATTTTTAAACAAGCCTGACTGTTCAGAAAAAAATTCGTTATTTATGCAGCTAGCTAAAATGAACATGGAATTTAATTTTCGAAATTTATCTTCCCCAAATTGCTGTAAAAATTTTTTTATATTTTGAAAATGATAACATAGTAAAGACAACATTTCGACGTTTTTATCCAACTTGGTTAATTCGTTGTAATTATTGATTCGTAGGAGTTGCGTCTGATTGGAGAAATTTGAACATATGGTTTTTACGACTTTATTAAAGAGTAGCTCTGCCTTTCTGTTGTAAATAATGTAAACTATATGATCTCCCAACAGCTTCTCCAAAAAGGCGTTGTGTCTGTAGAGGCAGGTGTAGGTCCCTTTGATGCACTCCACGTATACACTTTCTTCCGTGCTCACTACTTTTCTGGTTAGAAGGTCCAACTGCTTGTCCACTTCCTGCTCGACCAGCTTCATGGCCACGCGACACACGAATAGGTATTCCCCGAAGTGGAGCAACTGATCCTCTGGGGAGATGCAAGCAGGGGCTCCTCCTCCAAGGTGCTTGTCACCGTGGTCACTACTGTGACTTTCCACGTCGTCTACCTCATCATGACTGCCCACCTCGTCTTCCTCATCGTCGTCTATACCGTCGTTTTCCTCATCGTGACTGTCCACCACACTTGCGTCACCGTCACTTTCCCCCTCGTCTGCCTCATCATGATTACCCACCGCGCTTACATTATCGCGGTTTTCTTCACCGCCCCCCTGAGAGGAGTCCCTTTTCTTCTCCTCTCGACGGCGAAAAATACTCAAGTACAGGCCTACCTTCGCCCTAACCCCATCTACGTCCTTCACCTTTATGCATTCGCAGATTTCTTCCTCGATGAGACCCTTCACATGGTCGTAGTACGCGTTCAACAACTTTATGTTCTCTTCATCTGTCTGGCATATCTGTGCATACGCCTGTGCTTGCGAATGCGAGTGGGAATATACATCGTTATGCTGTTCGGGGTGGTCCTCTGATAATTGCCTTTCCCTCTGCTGGACATAGTTGATTATGTCGCTTTCAATGACTGCGTCTTCGCTGCTCAGGAGTGCGATTGTCCCCTTGGTGTGGTAGGCATGGTAGGCATGGTAGGCATGGCCTGGGGAACTTGCCTCATTGGGGCTGCTTCCTCCGTTTGGAATGCCCCCCACCCGCAGCAGCCCACACCTACCATATTTATACAGATACCTCCTTACTTGCAAAAACTGGTTTAGCGGCTCGATGGCCTCCAGGTAATTCCTCCTCAGACAACCCTCCACCTGCTTTATATAATCCTGAAGCTGAATTTTTAACGTAATATATTCATACGATGAGTTAACATTCGATATGGTTTTGTAAATCCTCTCCATCTGCGAAAAAGCATCATAGTTGCACTTCTCCCTAAGGGAGTTGTTTATTTTATTAATCTTCTGCTTGAACAACAAATGCTTCTTCACCTGTAAGTTTATGTTGTCGATGTTGTTTACGAGGTTCTCCTTCTCCTTTTGCTGATTCAGTCTTATTTTTAGGTCACACTTGTTCCTCAGGATGTCCAGCTTTTCTATGTACTTGTTGATTCTTTTTATGTTTGATTCTTCATCCCTCTCGCCAAGGTGTCCTTGCGAGTCGTGGGATCCATACGAGCTGCATGAGTCAAAGGTGTCCTCGACCGGGTCACTCAGCTTGGAGCTATCAAGATGGCCCGTCCTCCATTGGCCCCCCTGCAGATACTCTCCCCATTCGTCACTCTCGCTGGACTCCCCGCTAGAGAGCGCATTCCCCGTCATCGTCACTATAGCTGTGTGGCTTCGATGGGCATGGGGACAAGTTGTCCTTCTCTAAGCAGGAGGCTTTTCCTGAACCTGTTGCATCGCGGTGACTCCTTCCACAAGGAATTCCCCCCTTCGTCGTAAGGGGGACTCTCTAACCGCTGGAGGACGTCTTGATCTTCTTAACAGAAAAAAAAAAAAAAAAAGCAAAACGGGCGAAAAGCTCGTGAGGCAACAAAATAATTACCAAAGGTTCACTTAAAAATGGCTGCCCACAATGTTATAAAGGTCTGCCAAACATTTCTTGCTCTTTGGTTCAGGTGAAAGCAGGGGGGCAGGGGATCCGCAAAATGACCATCCTAAACTGGATGGCACAAACGTCTCGCAGTGCATAAAAGGTTAGGTGGCCAAAATGTGCCCTGCCTTTCATCCACGAGATCGTTTTAACGGCACCCCTGTGTACGCGGTCGGGCAGGGAGAGTAAAATGAGTGCATTGCAAAAGTGACAGTAGTTGCGACAAAGGTGTGATCAGATTAATGGTGTATGAGACCTCCTTCCAGAAGGACCGTAATTTTCCCCGAAAAAAAAAAAGAACAAAACTGCCTCGCTTTCCACAGCAAGGAACAAAACTGGGAAGCTACAACGCCCAATTGGGCAATCGTTTCGCCTGTTCCTTTTTTAACCGCCTGGGGCATTTACCTCCAAAAAAAAAAAAAAATGAACGCCAGTGGAAGGGGAAAAGGTGCTCATTTGAGGTATACATTCAGGACTGCCTCTTCACGTACAGGGGATACATTTGGGAGGCCACATTTTTAAATTCAAGTCCCAATGGCCCCCCTCTACACACGCTGAGGTGCCCTGAACAAATGTGTTACCTTAAAAATGGCTTTTTTTTTTTTTTTTTTTTTTTTTTTTTTTTGCCTGAACGGGTCATAACTTATTTGTTAGCTAGTATTTTTTTTTTTTTTTTTTACGTTTTTTTTTTTTTTTTTTTTTTTTTGTTCATACGGTTTTGCGCAATTATGGAAAAGTGGCTCAGAGAAAAGCACCACAAAGTGGCTAATGGTGGAGAGGGGAAAAGTAACGAAGGCTTACAGAAACATGAAGGATCTCTACCCCCGCATGTCCATTCGTTCCCATTTGCGTGATACCTATGATGGTGTTAGTCCACATTGTAAAGACACCCCCTCATGTCTTCCGTGTGTGGGAAAGTTTTCTATTTGGGATGGGTCAAAAAAAAAAAATGCCTGAACAGGTCAGGTGATAATTTCCCCCAAAATAAAAATCACAAATCTGTGTGTGCATACATAATACACCCATTTCATTGTTATCCACACACAAAAAAAGTAGGAAATATAAAAATACAAAAACATGTGCTGTCGTCCAAATTGCCATGCATTATTGAACTCTTGACAAGGTCCCTAGCCAGTTTAGTACAATGTTCTTTTGTGAGCATATACCTGTGCATCATTTTGTTTATATCCCGTCGGGGGGTACTTCCTGCGGTGGTTGTGCACAACTCTCGCATGTTGTACGTTCGGTACAGCTTCCTCACCTTGGCATACACGGATTTGTTTTTTTTTAAAATGTTTAATACGAAGTGCGGGTTGATGTATTCGAAAACGCCGTCTGAGGCAATGATCAGCAAGTGGAAAAAGTTTCTTCGTTCCTTCCTGCATAAATAATTTTCATTCATGGAAACACTTTTGATGTTAATGTAGGGTGCAAACCGCTCATTTATCTGTACAGGGAGGTTTTCTTTTTTCTTTTCCACCTGATTGCCAAGCACGTTACTGTCCAGCGCGCCGTCCCTGTAAATTTTTAAACACAATCCAGCGGGGGGAGGTTTCCCCTCGGAAGGTTGACGTGGTTGACGCGGTTGACGCGATTTAGTAGGCACCTCTGCGCTGCTCACAATGGTGCTATGTTGTAGATTAGAAGCGTCCATCGTGTGGGTTTTTTCCCCTTGGCGTCCCTCCTCCGGAGCGTCCAAAAGGACAATTTCCCTGATGGGCCCAAACTTGCCATAGCTACTGAGGAGGTAGCTCCTCCTGCATGCCACGCAGAACTTGGTCAAGTATAAATAACGAATCATATTGACCAAATTGATATTATTCATGTCGTACTTGTACACATTTGAATCGTTGGACAAGATGAAATGTCCATTGCAGTACTTCCTCTTCAAGTCGTAGTCTCCAATAACTCTGCACGGATGTAGGCACCCGTCCACTCTATTATATTTTATTAAATCATAGGATAGGTTCCCTATGTTTATTTCCTTTCCGCGTTCTCTTAGTAGGTACCCATTAAGCATTACAATTTGTTTGTTCAAGTGGCTATCCATTTTGGTCTTTTTCAGATCCGCCTTTTTCTTCGTCTTCTTCACGTCGGGAAGTGTCTCCATGTGTTCTTCATCCTGCACACCGTTTCGAAGATTGTCCCCAGGGGGCCCACTGACGGAAGAGTCCTCATTCTCGTTGCACCTCTTTCCAGGGCGATGCCCCTCCCCTGCCTTCACTTGCCGACACACTAACTCCTCACACAATTGCATCTTATACATTCGCAAGTACTCCATGTAACTATTGCAGTTGTGTTCGCAATTCAGCTCGTTGTACGAAAATGAGTTTGTGTTGATGACGTATGCCTTGTACTCACGATCAAAGTCGGAGTCGCTGCCAACGGTGTGCGCATCGCGCTGCTTGTTCCTCTTGTGCTTTCCCCCTCTTCGCTTCTTTCTTCTCTCACAGTTGTCCTCCCTCTCCTCCTCCGCTGGGGTTTCCATACTGTATTCAAACTTGTCTAGGTGAAAGGTCATCAGGGCGCACCTGCTATCCCCCGTGTTATTCACATAAAGGTAATTCTCCCTCAGAAGGATGTTAATAATACACGAGCCTGAACAGTTCCCACTCTTTTCTTCTGTACACTCCCGATAGTATAAAAAATCCAACAGGGGGTGAAGTAATTTTAGGGACATATGAACATTGAAGAGGGTGTGAATGAGGAGGTAGTAAAAAACCTTGTGCACATTTTGAATTAGGAAGTGGGCAGCATGCGAATCGCCATGACCATCGCATATGGTGAACAAGTGCATGTCGAAGTTGTTGTCTACCCCTCTGTGTTTAGAAGATACATCGGAGTGTCCTTCACCCGACTTCGTTTCCTTCGCTGCAATGAATCTCTCGTAGTATTGTTCAAAGAGATACCTTCGCATTTTGTCCATGCACTTTGTCCACTCTGTCGATCGCATCATCTTCTGTCTCTTCCGCTTGAGGAAACTTCGAGAGGGTTCTCTTTCTCTGTCCCATTCATTCGGGGCATTTTTTTTCGCGCAGCGTTTCTCCAACTCATCCTTCCACATTTGCATCTCTTTCCAGTTTTGGTAGGTATCCACATCGGAATGAGAACAGAAGTGGTACCTGCCCCTTTCGTCTTCACTCCTGTCATGAGCTAAGCCACCACTTTGTTCATCATCATTTCTGCAATTCTGTGCAAACTTTGTCTTTTCCTTCTCTTGGCTAGCTACAAGTAAGTTGAGCATTTTTTTTTCTGACCTGTTCAGGCAAAATGGATGTTTCAAAAAATCATTCGTCTTCCAAAAATTTAACAAAAAATCGTTCGCCATGTTATCATATTTGAGCAGATGCCTGCAGGTTTTGCAGCTCGTGAGGTAGTCGGTCAGTGTGTTACATATTTTTGTTGCGCCTCCACTTGGGGAGAAATCACTCGGGTGGTGTTCGCCATCCCCGTGGGTGGATTCATGTGTATGTCCGCCTGGACCGTTAATGTTGTTCATGTGTATAGCAGCGGAGAGGGAAGGAAAATCCCGATCTGCATTTGCTCCCGTTGCGCTCGTTGCGCCTGTTTCCCTTCTGCCTTTTCCCTCGTAACGCTTATTTCCATGATGGGGAGAAAACCTCACGTAGTTAAATTCTTCTGAGCAGCTGGAGGAGGTGTAAGCGCTCATCTTGTGGTACGATTCATTCTTTTTTTTTTTCGTCTTCTTCCTACCCCCTTTGGGTACACCATGGAGGTAGCGCAGGTATGCCCGATGCAACATCCTGCCCTGTTGGGCATTCACATGCTGGCATTTTTTACAAACCTTACAAACGAACTTATAGTAATGGGAGGAGCGTAAGTTAGGGTTGTGTGTTTGGTACAATTCTTCCCCCTGGGAATTTAACATTTGGGATTTCTCTGTCCACTGGGTTAAATATTTTAACTGTAGTTTTTTGATCCCGTGTTCGACATCATGTGTGTCATTGCGCGCGTTTTCCTTCTCGCTCTTCTCTTTGCGGTGGCCGCTCCTGTCCCTGTGATCGCCGCTCCTATCTTCGTAAAAATACCTGCAGGTCATGTTGTGCTGGTCAGGGTCACCCGGTGGGTTGTTTTCCCCCTCCAGGTGATAAAGTGGCAAGACGGGTTTTAAGTAGACCTTATAAGTGCCTCCATTTGAACGTTTTGCGGGAGGATTAAATTCGTTTCTATGTCTATCGCATTTAGTCTCCCGAGGAGAGTGATTCTTATGGCGAAGAATTGACGAACGCATAAAAAACTTTTTTAACAGCTCATCGAAGAGATTAAATTTCATTTTGCTACTTCCCATGCGATGAATTACTTGCTCCACCTCCTTTTGTATTTCATATGAACTGAATGAGGCATGCGAACATGTATCCTCATTGTCATGGTACTTTCCCTTTTTGCTGTAAAATCCGTAACTGAAGGTGAATGATTTGTGTGTGCCTTCCTTCGAACTTTTTTTTTGGGGGCCCTCATTTATGGAGACACCCTTGGAGGGAATCTCCTGTGCTGTGTTTACCCCCTGGGTGGCCATAAAACACTTGTAACATTTTTTCCTCCCCAACAGGTAAGTACAATTGGCATAATTTCTCACCTGAGTGGTTAAGCAATCATCGATCGTACAAAACTGTTTGCCCCTTTTGGGGGAGTCATGTGTCCACTTTTTTTTTTCCCCCTTATGGGTATTCACGGGTTTCTTTTCTAAGTGCTCATCATAGAGCCCCTTAAATGCAGCAGATTTTTTCTTCCCCCTCTGTTTGGTGTCCTTAAATTGGGACAGCTTTCCACCTGGTGATGAGGGTTCACTCAGGGGGGTTGTCTTCCTGCGATTTTGTATAAAACGGTAGTTGCTGGGAATATGATGGTTCATTTTATTCTCCACCTCTGCGGCGGTGCCATTTTGGTTCTTCAATTTTCCGACCGTATCACGCGCAAGGTATTTCTCCAATTTGGTTTGTGTCCTTCCTACTGAGAAGCAGCTCAGGGATACACCCTTCTTCCCATGTCTCCTTACCCTAACACGTTTAAATCTTCGTTGATATTTTTGCTTATCTTCTGCAAAGTTTATATGGACACTTGTCTCGATTTCTTTTCTCGGGATGAGCAAATTTTTCATGTCCGTCTTCCTCAGTAAGATGTCACATCGCTGCTCGAATTCGTCACCGGGGAAGGGATCCATGCCGCTCGTGTGGGTGGCCTCGAATGGGCACCCTCGAATGGATGACCTTGAATAGGGGAGCGCGGGACTGCGAACCTCACGGCGTGCACAGCCGGTTAGTCACTTTGAGGGAAAAATTTCGTTCCCACAGAGGATGCTTCCCTAGTGGGCGTCGCACCCTCAAGATGAAACAGAAACTACGAGGGGGGTGTTTGGGGAAAGGCGCTGCTAATTTCCTGCCCCTCCCTTTTGTGCCAACTGGAAGAAGACCACCCGTTTAGAAAAATTCTGCACCGCTCACTGCTTCCTCCACAAAAGGACCCCACACACTGGGAAAGCTAGCCCGCAGTAATACTTTTAAGCAGACAGAAGTCGAACGAAGTAAACATATTTTTCAAGATGAAGACGGATGAACATGCCAAGGAGGGGCTAGCGTGAAAAAGTAGCAAACAGGAGTTGGTAGTTTTTTCTACCCTCCTTCTCTCCTCATCCTAAGCATATTTTCCCCATTCTCTAAATTGTGCAAATCACAAATCAATGAAATATGTGAGCACATGAGGGGGATTTTTTTTTTTTTTCACTTTTGTGCTCTTGCTGGAGAAGTGGCTTCTCTTCCCTCCGACGCGAACGCTTCACCGGCTAACAGGTAGCAGCAGGTGGTAACTCTGTTGCGTGCGCCAAAAGACACAGGAGACAGGGCTGCTTTCTTTGCAGGCCAAAAAACTAAATTCCTCACAAGGAAGCTTCTTCAACTTATAAGAGAGCAGATCGAACTTTGGGGTCCTGCCTTTATTTTTTATTATTTTATTGTATTTTTTTTTTTCTCCTCATTTGTGTTAACCCGGGCACGTAATTTTACCATCCATTAGGTGCGACGTGCTCGGTTAGGCGGCTAAAGGTTCCGCTTCGGGGAACACTTACCGTTAATAATTGTATTTTTGTCTCCAAAGAGGGGGGAGCAACGTACATGGCACGCTTTTACGTACTTGTGTAAAGTCGTAAAGGCATCCTTTTTTAAAGACGACCCCCCCTTTTTTTTTTTTTTTAGAGAGCAAAAATGCGAGTAACTTCTCGGTATAGCTACCATTGAAGGATTATCATTTTCATTTATTTTCTACCTCTTTCCCGTGGCACTATTCAAAGATGCGGCTACCTCAGCGCGCAGTTTTAGCAGCCCAAATGGTGAAGCAGCATTTTGTTACCATTTGTTAGCACCTAAGCGCAAGTTTCCCCCGTCATGATGTTCCATGTTTATGCGAATTAGTAACCTCTACACTTTTTTTTTTTTTTTTTTTTTTTTTTTTTTGCGTATGCGCGTGCTTGACCAAAAAGCAGATCAAACATGTGATGACTTTATTTTGCATGCATAGGTTATGCGCACAAGTTTATGTCGCCATTTTTTAAAGAGCGCGTGAAGATGCGATCTGTTCTTGGCACTCGTTTGGCACCACTCCAAATAAGAAAAAATTGAGTTTGAGAAAATTGCGGCAAAATGTAACTACATGCAAATTGCGCCGTAGCGTATTGCTCATCGTGATAGGGCTTTATTTTGTTGTGCCATTTTCGACATCATTTTTTTTTTTTGCTGCGTTTTTGCGACCTTTTTCAGCATATTTTACCATTTGCAGCCACCTTTGCGCCATCTTAGCGCCAGCTCTGTGGCAATTCACTACACATTGAATTCGTTGCCAGGTCCACCCCATGGATAAGCAGTTCGCTCTTAGGCCTACCGCATAGAACACTCCGCAGAACACCACAAAAGAGAAGAGATTTTTCCCCCCCACCACCGTGAGCGCACTTATGCAAGGATTAGCTGCGCAGGCGTTTACCCAACTCTTGTCCCACTCTTCCTCTCACCTCTCTCCTTTGGACCCCGTGCACACGATGAACCCCAGCGAGGATAGAGAACACATAATCTCCATCCAGTCACATGTACTTGATGGGTTTTGCGGAAACAACATTGCTTCTTTCGTGTTCAGGAGGAGGGGGCACTCCCCCAAAATCTGCAATACAGTTCAGTACTACTCCAAGTATAAGCACGTGGGGGTTGAGATGAAGCAAGAGGAAATGAAAACCATTTTGAGTGCATTGAAGGCAGACCTAGTCGCCACGTGGGGTGGCAACCGCGGAAGTGGCGTGTACTTCCTGACGGGCTATATAAAAACGAAGGATTGCGTTGAAGAGGTGAGGAGCCACATCTGGGAGATGAAGACTCAGTACAAAAAAAAAAAGGACACTCAGATGGATGATTGTCAAGCAGACGCACCGCTGGACATAGAAGTAAAAACGAACGGCCATGCTGCTGAATGGTATAGCGGGAACTCATGTGCAGATGATTCCTCCTTCGGAAAATTACTCAACGTAGACTTCCTTTGGATTTGCGACCCAGTAATGGGAGACAACGGCAAGCTATACGTGGATAAGGATGTCGTCTTTGCGTACAAAAAGTGTATTCCCTTTGTTGACATCATGACCCCAAACCAGTTTGAGTTAGAGTTACTATGTGATAGGAAAATACAGAATGAGAACGACGTAATCACATGTATTCGTTTTTTACTAAACAGAGGAGTCAAATTAATTGTCGTAACCTCTGTTCAGTATTTGTTTGATAAAGACCACCTGTACTCTTATGTTGGCTACCTGAACAGCCAAGGAGAACTGGTCGCCTTTAAATATAAAATAATTAGGTTTGATTTTAATGCGTGTGGTTCGGGTGATTTGTTCGCGGCGCTGCTGCTCTCCTTCGTCATTAGGCACCGTGGAAATGTCCTGCTCATTGTTTCGAAGGTTTTGAACATCGTACATGTAAGGAAGGCCCATCCGTGGGGGGAGTGCCACAGCGGGGGGGGGGGGGACAGATCATCCCGGGGAATAGCGGATTGTCCCGTTTTGCAACCCCCTTACAACAAGCAGACAAGCGTTGTCGCGCGCGCCCTAACCGGCCTTTGCACATTTTTAGATATATTATTTTGTGCATCACTTTTTCATGGACACACGTTTCCCCCCATTTTTTTTTCTGTTTCCCCTTTCAGAATGTAATAAAGAACAGTCTAAGCTCTGGGGAAGTGAACATAATAGGTACATCTTTTTGCGCCGCACGAGATTGCGTGATCGTATCGACTGCGCTTTGCGTCTCCACGATTGTAATGCCTTCCACCTCCTTTCCACCCCCCCCCTTTTAGAGAACCAAGATATAATCGCCAGCGACGGACTTTGTGGCAGCTTCATTAAGGCGGAGCCCGTTTGTACAGCCTATCCCACACCATAATATGGATCCAACCTGCATTTGATTCCCCACCTATTTTTCTCTCTTTTTTTTTTTTTGTGCAAACACAGCATGTTGAAAAAAATAACATGTTCATTTTAGAAGCAAAACGTATTTATTCGTTCGAATTTGTGTGAAAATTTTAACTTTCATTACCCAACGTGGTCAATTCGTTTATATGTACATTGGCACAAATTGGCAAACGTGTCCTTGGATTTAAATCTTTCTATTTTATATATATATATATATATATATATATTTTTTTTTTTTTTTTTTTTGCCTTTTTTAGCTATTTTTTTTCTTTTTTTTTATGACTTGTTAAGGTAAATCGTTTCGCCAGAGTGGTGGAAACAAGAAAAAAAATTTTCCGTAAAAAAGTGAGCTATGTTCCCATGAAAATAAATCATGCGTTTTCTTCCCACTTAAAACACGCATTAGTTTATATTCATATATAGGTATTTAAAAAACTACGTTGTTGCTCAGTTTTGTTTTCATCTCATGGTACACCACAAGTGCAATTTGTCCCAGTACCCGTGAAACATTTACACGATTCTTCCAAAGCACATTTATGAGATCTGTGCCCCCCAATCCCCGTACTCTTTTGGACTATTCGTGTGGAAAATTGCCTGACCAGAGAGAAAAAAAAAAAATGTCCTATGGCTGGCTAACTGAAAGTACGTTATTCGGGAAAAAAGAAAAAGTTATTGAACTAGGCAAGGACAAGTTATTCAACGAAAGTAAAGATAATAAGAAAAGCGAAAACAGCATCGATCAGCTAAATGGAATTGTTAATTCGTACCTCCAAAATGTAAAGGAAAACAAAAAGAATCAATTAGGGAGGAAAAAGGTAACGTGTAAAGGGGGCCCAAGATGGAAACATGATAATCTGTCCATCATGCATACTTCACCCCAACGCGGGAATGGGCAATCTCCCCTAAAAGAATTTTCTCCATAAGTTTTGAAAAAAAAAAAACAACACACATGAGTAGTCCTTCAGTTGTGCAGCCCCATTGCGCACCAATTTTTCCTGTTCATTCTCCCCGCAAGTTGCCTCGCCTAACATCATTTCGCTTTCTTTTTTTGCCTCCCACTCTTCAGCTGAGTTATGAAGACAAACTGTACAATGCCAAAAATGACGGCGTGGAAAAGCGCAACAAACAAGACAGGAAAGACACCTCGGTGAAGAAGCAAATAAATAAAGTGAAAAAATATGAACAGCTGCTGAAAGGGGGACGCAACGACCCCAAGTGCTTAGTCAATTTCGAATCCAAGAAGCAAATGGAAAGTGAACTGGAAGAAATTCGAAAACTGAAGGCGCAGAGCAATGGCCAAAAGTATGCACAAAGCTGAGGGGGGTAATTATACAATTGTGGTAGATCAAAACGGGATGTGCTTACGCAAGTTGGATGATTTGTTGAGAGTACATGCCGTTGGAGGTAGGCATCTTTTGTTGTGACCCCTCTTAATGATGATGATTCCCCGTCGGTATGTAACGTATGGGGATGCTTTACGGGCACATGTTTATGCATTAAGCTCGGTTTCAATTTTTTTTTTTTGTCTGTCCATTATTCATTCCTGATTTTGTTATCCCCCCCCGTTGGGGCACCATTTTAACTTTTTTAGTTACAAATTAATTCAAAATTTGTTAGAAGTTTGACCGGTGTATGTTTTCTATTTCTCCGTCCCCCTTTTTCATTCCCGTTGAGGTAATTTCCTTGGATGCATAGCAAAAAATACTTTTCCCTTCTTCCCCCCTTTCATGAGCGAAAAAGACAAATGTACCAAATGGGCAGTTCACTTTGCGCGCGTCAGGCGTTCGCTCAATGCACCCCCATGCGCCACGTTCGTGTCTGCATAAAAAAATGTAACATACAAAAGTTCTAAGGTTTAGCTTAAATGGGACACATTTCGGGAAATAATTTTCCTCTTGAAAAGGCTCTTGTCAAAAAAATGTTTACCATTCCAGATGCTCACCAAAGTTATGCCTATCATAGTTTTACCTTTTTTTTTTTTTTTTTTTTTTTTTTTTTTTTTTTATACATTCTCGCTTGAGCAAGGAACAATTTTAAAAATATATTTTCCACATTTTGCACATATTCGGAGGGGTTAGCGCAGGAAAAATAGCCATTTTATATTCTCCCCCCTGGGCGATTTTTTTAGCTAATTCTCCATCCGTGCAGATATTTTTTTTGTCAATTCACCTGACCGTTCAGGTATTTTTTCGTCAATTCACCTGTCCGTGCAGACTATTTTTTACACTTTTATTTCTTTTTTATTCCCTGTTTATTTCTTTTTTATTCCCTGTTTATTTCTTTTTTATTCCCTTTTTATTCATTTTTATTTCATGTTTATTTCTTTTTTTTTTTAACTGGCCACATGCCACTTTGCACAACGAACCAGAAGGAAGATTTTCCACTGCCCAATGCGCACATTCAAGTATTCACGGGGAAGCTCCATTTGCGCGTGTTGACTCCAGTGTGGATCGCCGCGACTGCCCAGTTGACTCAAAGGAGTTCCAAAAAGGAGAAAATCGTTTGAGCGCCCCCTTGCCGCCCCATTTCACCCGCTTTTGTAAACCCACTTTGATAAAATGAACAACCACTCGGTGTACAACAAATTCAACTCCACGCTGTCCGTGTTCAACAACAACAGCAACCTGAACAACAGCGTATACATTTCTGGGGACAAGAAATCAAAGTCGAGGACTTCGCTAAATGCGCTGTCATTTTACAAGTCCAGCGCATCCGTGTATGTAAAGAAGGTAGACAAAACTGACAAGAAGGAAAATGTGAAAACGCTGATACGATACTTGGGGTGGAAAAATTACAGCGGGAGTATATCTCCCAATCTGTTTAAAAATCCAAGCATGACCGATTTAATAAACATATGGAATTTTATCTTTAAGCATGTCGACCCGCAAATCGAAGTGAATAAGGACAACTATGGAGAAGTGGTTTTGAGTTTTTACAAAGATATTGGGTATCCATATACCATTTCAAAATCCACGCTGGTGGCCCCGACTACCGGCCTGCAGTATAATACACACTTGTCTGCCTTAGCATGGCTTTGCCAGCTTCTGATTTTCGAAGCTGAATGTTTCAATGACATAAATGAGGAGAAAGATATGAACTGTTCATACGATTTTAACGAAGATGGAGAAATAAAAATGGAGGATTTTATCCTACAAAGTTACAAGTCCTACATTAACAAGGAAGAAAAAAATGCAAACGATGTGTTAAATGCGAAATTGGACAAAGAGATTGCTAGGTTGCAAAATGATATAAGTGCCAAAAGTGAAGATATTGTTGAAAAAAAAAAAAAAATTGAAGAAATAAAAAATCATATGAAGGAAAATGAGGAACTGATAAAGAGAAATAAAGTCTTGTGTGAAGAAAATAAAAAAATAAAACTGCTTTACACTAACAGCTTGGAGGAAACCAAGAAGCTAGAAAAGGAAATCGAAATGTGTAAGAAGACTAATCAGGAAGAAAAGGTAAAAACGGAAAAGATGATCGAGCAAATTAACAAAGTCAAGGAAGTTTTGCAAAAACAAACACTCAACAAGGCACAGTTCCTGCAGATGAATGAAGATATTGAAAAAAACAAGGAAAAAATTGAACAAATAAAAAACGAAATTAAAAGCTTGAACAATGAACATCCAACTTTGAGTGACAAATTAAATAACAGAAATAGTGACTTAAAGAAGTTAGCCAAAAGTGTAAATGATAAACTTTCGGAAATTCTGCAGAATTTAAATTTGTATAGAAATATCTCTCGATCTGAATGGAACAAAATAAACAACGTGAACATTAATATCGATTCGTTTACTGTGGACAATATGCTGAACATGAATTGGAAGGACACCAAGAGCGACGTCAAGTCTTTCATTGAGGCGGATCAGGAGGAGATGAAGAACTCCCTGCGCCTCATTGAGGATTACGAGAAAAAAATTAAACTGCTCGAGGATGAGATTGAAGACTTGAAGGAGGACATCCAGGACAGCGAGACGAATGTCAAGAAGCTCAACGACGACACGGATAAGTTCGTCACGGCTTCGTCGGACAAGTTCAGCCAAATCGTCGCGCAGAACGAGGTGCGTCACATGTCGCTCGAGGGGGGGGTGAAGAGACCCCTAGCCGCTCACTCTCACGTCGACCTCCCTGGGGGCGTCTTCCACATTGTCCAACCGCTACGCGAAAAGCGTGTTCTCGTGTTCAATCCCATTAATCGATTCTCCCCTTTTTTTTTTTTTTTTTTTTTTTTTTTTCCTCCTCCGCAGAAAATGCTGAACGAAGCCAAGGAGAAGAGTGTAAGACGCATCCTCTTTCTGCACTGCTCAAGTGGCAGCGCTTGAAAATGTTCATTGGCGCAGTTAGCAGCTCATCGCTGGGTTTATTTACATAGAACCTTTCGTGCATATACATCATGCTGGAGTGCGTGTGCGTGTATGCGTATGTGGGGGCGAAGATCCTTCCAGGGGAACAGGTCACCCGAACTATAATTTCCCGCTACCCATTTACAAATCTGCCATTTGTGCTTCTACCCCCCCAGGACAAGACAAACGAAATGCTCAAAGAAGTCATTGCGGAGAGGGAGGAGAAGGAAAACGAGTTTAGCAAAATCAAGACCGATAATGAAAAGGTGTTCAGGGAGAAACTAGCAACCCTCCAGCAGGTGAGGAGCGAATTTTTTTTTTTTTTTTTTTTTGCCATTTTCGTTCCATGCGTTCCGCTTTGTTGGGTATAGAATCGCATCAACGAAGAAGTTGCTGGGCGTGGAAGAAAAGTAGTGGAGTAGGGGAAATGCAAAGAGGGTCATCCTGACTGGCTCTAGTGGATGTAGTGAATGTGCTACAGCTGTTTAGCTGGCCAAGCATCTAATTCGAGCACACTATATATATTTTTCCCTTCCGCCCCCTCCTCGTGCAGGCATGTGCCCTCCTGGTGGAACTAAAAATTTACAGCAAAAATTACGCATCCATGTAAGTGGCGCGATCGCCCCCAAGGAGTGCCTATTGCAGGAGGAATTTTTTTGTTATAATTCACACACTTTAAAAAAAAAAGTTTTTTTTTTTTTTATTGTTTTACTTTTTTTTTTTTATTTCCACTGTTTATACATCCCTTTTTGCAGCGTGCTGGACGAAAAAAAACGGGAGCTGGAGTTGTACAAGGAGCTCCACAAGAGTGTAGTCGAGTAGGTGGAGAAGCACGCACGGGAAAAGACACATGGGAAAAGGCATATGAGAAAAAATATGTGTGCATAATTTGGGGGGTTAAAAGTGAAGAAGCAATGGATAGAGGAAACCCCCAAGCGATGTGAGGACAGCGCGTTTTCATCACCCAGAAGAAGTGACGCAGGGTATGGCACTGGTGACATGGACGACATGGACGATACGGCAATGATCGGGCACTCCGCGCGGGCCCCTTCACGGCTGCAAATTGGTCGAGACGATGTCGCTAATCTGTTTAATTGTCCGTTGAATATTTTCATCATTTATCTGAATGGTCTTTTCAATGTCCTTCATTTTTTTCTGCAAGTCCTCAATGTCTCTCTTCTCCATCTCTTGTTTTTTGTTCAGGTAATTTACTTCTTCTAATGTTTGAATTTCTGTACATAACAATTCATAAGTCTCTTTCCTCCTTCGATCCTTTTTAATTTCTTGCAGTAGCTTCTGGTATATTTTATTTTCTTTCCGCACGACTTTGAGCTTTTTTATATTTTTTTTTGTTTGTTTGCTTTGAAAAAGGAAGTCCTTCTTAATGCCATGCAGTTCTGTGTGCAGTAAATTTATGTTGCTTCCTATTCGGTTGAAGTAGGCGTATCCGTTTAGGAGAGAGAGGTTTTCGCTCAGCAGGCTTTCTTTTTGCTCGTTCTTTTCTCCAGTTGAATTTTCCGCGTCTGGCCCATCCGCTGGCGCAGTCGGGAGTTCCTTCACGAACAGCTTGATTGACTTGTTCACACAGAGGGAGAGGTCCGCCTTGGGCTCGAACAGGCTTTGCACGCATGAACCTGCAAAGGCGTCCTCCATTGTGAGTGCGAAGCGGGGGGCAGGACTAGTAGTGGTAGTAGTACCGCGTTGGCGATTGGGCTGTGTACCCCAATTGCACCGCTGGCGGTGGTAGGGTCGGTCTTGTCCGTTTCAGTCAGGCACCACCTTTACATGTTCAACCGTGCGCATGTTTGTTGCCAGCTGCTATGTCTCAGGTGTATGGCTGGGAGGAGTTAATGAGTATATCTCTTCACGAACTGCATAAGCTTTTATCCCTTAAGCGGGTGCCACTAAATTTGTTTCTCCCACACGGTGTAGCTATGGCGGGGCGTGCTTTTCATACGAGCGTTGCTATGCTTTCCCCTTTTTTAAATTAGGAGGGGGAAAAAATGCGAATGAAATTCCACGCAGGGGAACACGCGTTTGGCTAAATCTGATCAATGGTATGAATGTTTTTCGCCAAATGAATAACCCGTAGGTGGGGGAACTGCGTCACCAGGTTGGCTTCACGGATGCCTCTTCCACAACAGAGGTTGCTTCTTCTCTCCTGATGGGGTGAGAGCGTGTTTGAGTCACAGTGGTGCCCTTGTTGTGATCCCCTTCCCTTTGACTCTCTTCCACACAAAAAGTACAAAGTTATGGAAAAGCAATCTGGAGGATAAAAGAAGAAAAAAAAAAAAAAAAAAACAGAGACTGAACAACTGGAAAAGAGACTCAGAAAAATTTGTTTATTTATGCCCCACAGGAAAATAGCGCTGACGATAAATATATAGTGTTATGTTAGGCACCCCACGCTTCATTTTTTTTTTTTTTTTTTTTTTTTTTTTTGTATGCCTCATAATGGATTGACAAAGGGGAAGATACGAAGATGTACGCATACCTTGGCACAAAAAAGCAAAGGTGAAAAGAAAGGTGAAAATGAACTGATTGGTTAAAGAAATATATATATTCCTCTATACGTTAGTTGTTTCCTCAACACTCTACATGACGCGAACGCGTTGTGCGTCCACCGAGTGGGCTTCCGCACAAACGGTGGAAGAAGAGTTGAAGGGGAAATAGCAAGGGGGTGAAAGCGATGGGGAAGTTTCCCCCCAAAAAATGCCCCACCGCTGGAACGACACCCTCCCTGCGCGGACATGCGCGTTAGTCCCCTGTTAGCGACACTTGGCGTGTGCGGTGCAGCCCTGTCCACGGAGCCGCTACAGTACTGCGTGGACAAGGGAAGTCTTTTCATTAGGCATTCGCCCCGCAAGTACGAAACGCAACTTTTGAACAAGTGGAAAAGCAACATCACCAGTTCCCGCAGCGAGGACAACTACAAACGCAGTAGCCGCAATGCAGCTGTTGTCTGCACATTGGAGTCTCCCATAGTGGGTGTACCTGTTGGAGTTCCTTTCGACGCTGCTCAGTATGGAGAACACTGCGAGGAGGACAACGGGGGAATGGCTTTCCTCTCCCCGATCAGCAGCAACCGAAAAAAAGTGACCCTTTCCCTGAAGAAGGTAACGCGTCAGCGCCATTTCAACTGCACACAATTGAACAATATCCTATGCATGCAATTCTTGCCGGATGTTTCCAACGCCTACTTAAGGTACGTCCTCGAAAAGTTCAGCGCACATGATCTTCCAGTTAAAGAAAATATTTTATTTCACCTCATCTTGAGGTACCTACGTGAGCGTACCACTAACCCTGTGGGAGGAAAGACAAGCCAAAGGGACTCCCAACTGATTAACTGCATTGAAGATAACGCATACAAATTTATTGCTGACCATGCAAGGGTTATAAAAAAATGTGCAAAGAGGAAGAAGCACAACGAGGTAGACTTTGAACAGTGTAGGACAGAAGAGGAAAGATTAAAACAAATCACCTGTCCCCCCCCTTCTCACAATAAAATTATTGATGCCTACTTAAAAATGAAAAAAAAATTTAACATCATTTTTGTCAGCATAAAAAGTGAAAAAAATATTTACAGAGTGTTTAGAAAAATTAAAAGAAATATTTTTTTTTATGATTTTCTGGATCGGCTAGCTATTTTATGTTTTTTCCATCGACATGCGCAACACAGATTTGTGCTTCACTTTCTCAAGAGATACATCTTCAGCCTTAGGAATGAAAATAATTTATTTATAATTAATTTTGTGAACACGTTGGGGGGAAGAAGCCTACTGAAGAAATACATTTTGGCTCCCCATTTGACTTACCATGCCATTTTACACACACCTGTGGAGGGAGGCAGTTGCGAGGACACATTCAAGTGGAGCTTCCTGCCCGTTAATGCGTGCAACTATGTGGAGACGTACATGAAGGAGAGGTTCTTCCTCGGAGGAACCAGCAGGGGAAGACCCCGCGCCGAGGCCACTTTCCTAATATACGCAAAATTGCTGGACTCCCTCACACAAAAGAGGAATAATTATTTCCCTGAATTGTTCCTCAAGCAATTTTGCCTGTACTATTCAGAAGAAAAAAACACCCCCCACGACCACAAGTGGTATTACTTCCTTATCACCCTGTCCTCTCTGATGAAGACATACTACATGAAGAGGAAGCTCTACGTGAGGGGAACCCACAGGATGGGAGGAGATGCACACGAGGGGGGAAGCGACCCTCTAGTAAATCGCGTTACCATACACGACGATGATATTTTCAGGGACAAAACGCACAGCTTGGCAACCTGTGGAGGAAATCACCTGAACAGTCAGGTGGTAAATTATCTCCAGGGGGCAGTCCGCGGAGACATATACGCAGGGAACACCCTGAAGCAGTATTCCCTTCTGCTGCTCCTGCAATACGTCTTCTTACTTGAGCTAAACCTCTCACATGTTAACCTCGTAAGTAGAAACTCCGCAAATCATTTTTCAAACTGGGTAGACAATAACGACTCGGTGCAGAATAAACTGACGGACGAAGGGAGGGGAATTAACTCCACATTTGTGAAAAAACAAGCAACGCTACTTTCACAAAAGGAACGCCTCCTTGTAAAAATATTTTTCTTGTATAAATCGATTTTATCAAGCCACTGTGAGAACACAGGTGAGACAATTTTATTATATAATTACACATTTGAGGAGTTGACCCGATTTGTGCAAAACTATTTAACTGACTTAGTGGAGAAGTCCTTCCATGGGGGGAGACAAGTGCTGGAGGAGATGAAAATGTGCGCCAAGCACATGCTACCGCTTTGCAAAGTGAACCCGCGTCTTTTTTTCATGCTCCTGGGAGTCCTAAACGAAGGTAGCGACCCCCACATGGCGAGGCACCTCTGGTTGGAAAGTCAACACAAGCTCAGGAATGTGCAGCCATGGGTAAGGGAAGCTATCGCGCGGGAGCTTCTCGAAGGCGGTGCACAGGATGGGCGCAGTCAAAGGGAGAAGCAGCAAAGAGAGGCTTACGACAGAACGCCGACCAACAGGGGCGACCACATGTTGACCCGCGCCATGTTGGCGTACGACGAGGTACACAAAATTTACAAACAAATAACCAGTTGCTACGACAAGGAGCATATAAAGAAGCTGATCAAAGACCTGCTCTCCGCGCGCAGCAGTGCGGAAGGGGAATCTTCCCCCCTTGGCATTTTTAAGAGACCTATTTTAGCCCTAAATTTGAAGCAGATTTTTTTCCTCTTTGTTACTTTGAATTATTTCAATTTGCATGGCGAGATTATTCAGCTCTTTCAACACATTATGTGCAGCTCTGCGTTTAGGAAGTTTTTCTCCACGGCCATGTTGAAGAGGGGGCACCATCCCACCGTGGGGGACCAAGGCACTGATGAGGAGGAATATGACATGTGCCAACAAATTTTGTACATTTATTGTAATTCAAGTTGTTGTGTAGACAATCCTTTACATCTACCCGCGGGGGTGACATGCTCGAGGGAGGTCATGAAGCACGTGTTCTTCTATCGTGACCCGCTGTACATATTTAATCACCTGATTAGGAAGTACGACAGGGGTGCAACTGCCGAGGGGAACATCGAGGGGGTCGTCAAAAAAGGCGAAGGTGCAGTGGACATTTTACAAAATATAAAAGACAGCAAATTTTTTCACGAAAAAAGTTTGAGCAAATTTCGAAACAGTAACATTTTTAAGCAATTTTTTGAAGACGAAATATACACCCACGTGAGTCAGAAGGAATACACACTAATTTTTTACGGGTTGATGATATATCTTTACAAGCACGGATCTACATGGCACACCGATGGGGATGAAAACAAAACGAGCCAAAGTGATAATAACCCCACTGAGTTATTTAGACAAGTCGAATTAATATACCTCCATTTTTACGCCGCATGGAAATCCTACTTGAAGGTACACAAAATGAGTAAGATAAATTTCCTAATCTGTGCGAAGACATTTTTGCTGATGAATGATTTTGAAAGCTTCCAAAGTTTACTCTGCACAGAAAAGAAGATGGTGACAAAGTATGCCATTTTTATTAACTCCCTTCTGAACAATTATACCCATCGTTGTGATGGAGGAATGCATATTTTGCAAAATAATTTAATTGCTCCTGCTGATATGTACATTACCTTTGGAGGTGAACTGACAATTTTTAATTTAAATTATGAGCAATTTGTGCAGAGGATACGTCCGTTTGGGGAATACAGTAGTCAGTGTAAAGTGACGTTGTTTATCGATTACAGGAAATTATTTCCAGACTTAATAAATTTAAAGTTCTTTCTTAGCCTCCCCTTTTTACAAAGTCATAAGGTGAAATCCTTCCTTGAGGAAAATAAAATAAATTTATGTGAAAAAAATTTTTGGGATATTGCTGACCTGGTCATATTTTACGGGAAATCCCTCGACAAAAGGGACAAAATTTTGGACTTTTTTTCTCAACAGATGAGTAATTTTTGCATACAAGAGAATAAACTCGTTAAAGACGCGTTTGTCGTTTCACGGAAGAGGTAAACTCTCTGCCCTGGAGAACAGTTCTTCTCCTTTTTTCTGTTTCCCTACTTCACTTTGATATGAATTAACACAACATTTTGACGGTACATGCATTACACCGCATTGTTATCCCCCATCATTTTTTTTTTTTTTTTTTTGTAACGTAGTGTACCCCGTGGGGAGGTTTGCACACCAAATTGGGCATTCCTTTTAAGTGGAAAAAACCGCAGCGTTTGTAGACCCATACACACACATCCCATTGGCGATATGCTTTTTTTTTTTTTAAGCTACGTGGAGATGCCCCTTGTGTAAAAAAATTGCACGTAAAAAAAAAAAGTGTGTTTTTTTTTTTGTACACTTTTGTGTGAAAATGTGTCCACGTGGGAGGTCCCACGTAGCTGGAATTTCCTGAACGAACAAGTCAGGTCATTTTGGACGTCCCATTTGAGGAAAATAGCTGGAGAACGAAACGGAGGGGTCATTCCCCTTTCCAAGGGTTTCCTTTTTGTGTGTGTTACTTACTAAAGGGGTGGACAATCACCAGCTGTGGAGTTACACTTTTTCATTTTTTCATTTTTTTTTGCCACATTTCACGGCTTATGTGGTCAACCGGCTGAACGAGTGCCCGCTATAAAAGTGAGTCCCCCCCGCTTTGCTGCAATTACACGCCTTGTTTTAATTTTTCCGCAAAGGTATCGTTTTGTCCCTCACGATTCATGTAACCTGTGGCAACACATTGCTTCTCACCAATGGCTGTTAAGTGTCCTATATTTGATGGCGCACCCCTTTTGGGGGGGCTCGCAAAAGCTGCTTATGTGACAAGTGTCTTCCTGCATGTGCATGTGTAAATATTTGCACATGTGTACATAAAGGTGTGTACACCGATGATGCTTCCCCTACGTCCACATTTCTGCATTCACGCATGCACATTTGCACATGTGCATTGGAGGTCGCACATGTGCTCATACACATTGGAGGCCACACATTTGCTCATGCACACTGGAGGCCACACATTCGCTCATGCACACTGGAGCCTACACATTGTAAGCCGCACATTGGAGACCACACAGTAGCAGCCACACACAGGCTTTTCCCCCCGCAGTTGGAGTCAGGACTGCCGTGGTGCAGACTTATGGCCACATGTGTGCAGCAACCTTCGAACAGTTATGTCCCCTTGTGCGGATTAAATGTTTTTTCTCTTAAGGTTCTTCACCACAAAACATGGTGGCAATTCCCAAAGTGCATGTGCAAAAAGGGAAGAGAAAAAAGCCGGAGCGCAGTGCTACGATTTCGAAGGAGATAAAAACAAAAAAAAAACTTCATCAAAATGTATGATGTAAAATGTACAACGCTGAATTCGCTTTCCACTTTGCAGCATAAGTTTTTTTTTTTTTTTTTTTTGTTTTTATCTCATCACTGTAAAACACATAACATACATATTGACAACTGGTCCTTGGACAACTCCAACGTCTTTCAAATAGCAAAGACAATCAAACCAACGTTGTTTAAAGTGCCATAAGACAGAGCTCTGCAAATAGCGCAGCTGTGTGTACGACACTTTATATATATATTTTTTTTTTTTGTTTTTTATCCCCATCCTTATACAACTGTCTGAAAATTCGCTAACTACTAGCCAAAAAAATTTTTTTTTTTTTTTTTTTTCCTCTTCTTTTGTACGTTTGTATGATAAAAGAGGAGGAAGATTTCCATTTTGTTCTTTTATTTTTCCTTTTCATATAAGCTACGCTGATAATTGTTTTTTTTAATTTTTTCCTGTTTTTGTCACTCGAGACTGTTTGTTGGAGCATTGCTACACACTGCAACAATTTTTTTTGTGCTCATATACATGTATGAGCAGATTACTTAGCAGTTGACTGCAGAGCGTGAAGTACACCTTCTAATTCACTGCTTGGCGATATGCCCTATTTATATTTGCTTACTCATTTGTTCGCTCTCCAAAGACAGAATTATATACATGGCTCGGACAAGTGAAGAACAGCTTTCTCACTTTGGACCCTGCATGTGCTGTGTGTGAATCCATTATACCCCTCCCTGTTCTTCAGGACGTGTCATTTTTAACACACAACGGTTATGAATGATGGGGGCTGCTAACATTTAGTGTCCTCTTTGAATTTTCCGTACATATGCCTTCGGCTGGCCAACTCTCCTTGACTCCACGAGAGCAGCGTTCCTATGGACACGTGCTTATTTATCTACATGCACAATTTTGCTTCCACGTGCTTGGACAAATTACATGTTTGTTTTTTTTTTTTGTCTCACCCCGTCGGAGTGGAAAATTCGAGAATATTTCCAATCTGGCTTCCAAAAAAGGGGGAGAAAGTATTTCGTTTTTTTTTTTTTTACTTTTTTTTTTTTACTACTCCCTTGGCAACTTTGTCAAAGCGTTGAGCAGTTAATTTTTGCGTCTTGTTTTTCCCTCAGTTGACGCGTATGGTGTGCAGTTTCCCCTTATTCGAAGGTGCAACCCATTCTGTCTGTCTACACTCCGTTTCCCTTCCCCCCCACAGCCTCCTATAACAACCGGGGGTTTGTTTCTCAAATTTGCTGAACTAAGTTTTTTTTTTTTTTGTTTACCACCAGTTTAGCATATTATTTGATATGTGGTTTTAACGTGTCACTATGTTAACGTATTAACGTGTTAATGTGTTAATTTTTTTTTTTTTTTTTTTTTTTTTTTCTCCCTTTCGTGCGCAAACGGCGCAGATCGTAGACACAACAGAAAGACGCAGGATGAGACGCATCGTGAGGCTCATGCTCAACTGGATCCTTCCGTTTTTGCTGTTTCGTCTCACCCAGGTGGATAGCAAGGGATTGATTGAAAAGGTAACCTCTCAGGGAGACCTAGATTTAGTAATACTATTCGATGCCGGTTTTAAGGAGAACAAGGAAAAGAAGCGTTCTAAGGCTTTGGAAAATATTGCTGAGCTGGCGAAGAACCTGCTAGTGGAAGGGGTGAGCAAGGTGAATCTAACATATGTGACATATGATAGTGTGAGCGTGCAGACCATGGCACGAGCAGATAATAGGAGTGCCAAGGGTAAAGCGTCATTTTCGTCATTCTCCTCTTCCAGACTCACAAATGGTTCGGTGGAAGGGTTTCGCCAGGTCGTGATGCAGACTGAGATGCGGCAATCAAAGCACAACTCGAACCATCTGAAGGCTTTAAACTACGTGGGCATAAAACACTTCTACGACGCAGATGACAGTTCTACTAAAATGATAATAATGTTTATTAATACAGATGGAATACCAACAAGAGACGACACAGAATTAAATATAGTGCACTACCTATTGGATAGAAAAAATATTACCCTAAACATTATAACGAAGGTAAATCTCAAATCGTATTGTCATTACTTACATAAGGTTGGACCCAACACAAACGAGTTGCTAAGGTGTGTGTTAAAAAATTCTTTTTACCACAAGTTGATATTAACATACACATTAGACAAATTATACGATGACATTGCGACGAATGCAAAGTGTAGTGATTGGTCTGAGTGGTCTGAATGCACCGTGACATGCAACGTGGGTTACCACTTCAGCAAAAGGAATACTCTACACAACGTGGAAAATCCTGTAGGGGGAAAATACAAAAGGACAGGAAAGAATTGCACAGATCAAAGGAGTCTTGTAATACAGGAATGTTTTGAAACCAGTTGTGATAACTCCCTCGACGTTTGTGATATAGAGGTTGATCTGTCTCTGCTAGTAAATGACTCTTCTAACATGTCACAAGACTTTTGGCTGAAATATGTGTTGAAGCCCATAAGGAATCTCATTGCTCATTTAAATTTAAGTTCAAAATTGGTTAATGTATCTCTCACTACCTTTTCTGAAGAAACATACAACTGGGTTAATTTTTCTTCCAACTTATCTCGGAACAGAAATGAACTTCTCCTGTTCCTAGAGCATTGGAGGTTTAATTTTGGTGGCCCAACGAATAATTTGACCAGTGCTTTAAATTATATGCATCACCATGTGCTTAATAGTAATGAGGGAAGACCCAATGCCCACAAGGTCCTTGTCATTTTTAACACAGGAGATGTCACAAATAAGGTTGCCAAGGGGGCAGAGGAAATCGTTCGTAATATTAAGTTGATATATGCGGCTGATGTGTATACCATTTGCTTGAAGAACAATAAGGAGAGTAATTGTGAAGCGATCAGCGGGGCCACCGTACGCGAGGGAGAAGAGGATAAAGAGCGTGATGCCAATCATGATGAAGCCACTAACTCCTCCTCTCTGCACGACGCCCCCTTCTTCTACTCCTACAGCAACGTGTCTGAATTCAGGGAGCAGCTCAGCGACATACAAAAGAACATTTGCAAAAATGCGCACCAGGCTATTGTTGCGGCCAGGCGCCGAAGGAGAAAAAATCTGCGGCGGGCGGACAAATCCGGGGAGGCTAGCGGACGGCAGGGGCGCAGAACCACGCAGGAAGGAGCGAAGCTCACCGAGAGGGAAGCACATCGGGCAGAGACGAAATCGGCAGATGAGGCGATAGAGCATGCCGAGGAGGTAGAACCGGAACCAGAAATGAAGCTCGATGCAGTACCAGGCGAAACCCCAAGTGAGGCCGCAAAAATAGCACAGAAGTTGCACGGAGCCAAGCCGGTCCACATAAGACCCCCCTACTATCTCACTAGCGCAGGAAGCCTAAAAGGTTTGAAAAAAAACGCAGCCATTCTAAAATCATTTACCAACTTGGATCGAATAGATGATGTAGAAGAAGAGGCAGAAGAGGAGGAGAAGGAGCAGCAGCAGGTAGATGTAGTAGAACCCATTCAGAACCCATTAAAGAAATACTCCTCAGTGTACAACATAGATGCATTGCCATCATACAAAAATAAAGGAAAAAAAAATTTAATATGTAAACTATTGAAATTTTTGTTTAGAAAAAAAAAAGAATATAAACTGAAAAAAATGGATCCCAAGGATAAGGAAAAGATAAAGCAGTTCATAGAAGAAGCAAAAGGGTTAATCGATTCTGAAGGAACATATCACCACAGAGAGGCACAGATAGAGGACGGTTTTAAGGTCATGTTAGACAACATATTTAAACATATACACAATCCACCTGCCGGTGATTTCGAATTTGATTCTGCAAGTGTGTCTAGTTACGGCTCATACATGGAGGAGGGAGAAGAGTTAGGGTTGGAGAATACTTTACCCTGCAGTTGGTTCTACATAGATGCAGCACAGATGAATGTGGACCACATGGATGGGCTGACTGATGCGGATACTGTTGCTGGCTCCAACACTGACATGGAGGACGATTCTGATGAGGAGGCCACTTCTACCAAAACGGGAAGGGCCATCGACGATGACGTCTCCATAACAGACATATTGGTGAAGGAAGGAGGGTTTGCTACGAGCGAAAATGGAAATTTGAAAAGGAGGAAAAGGTCTGTCGATCAGGAAGAGGGACAAACGACACACAACAAAGAAAATCATGGTGCGAAAAATGAAGGTCCAGGTGGGAGTGTAGAGGGTAAGGGGGATGAAGCAGTTCTGCCTAGCAGTCGTGAGCGGGAGAAAAAGGGTGAACATGATGATAGGATGGAGGGAGGAAAAGGGGTAGATACTGTTACTACCCCCACCACCACATCGTCCACGCAACAAAGTCTGCCGCCCGACGGAAGAAAGCCACCGACCCAGAAAAAATTCAAATCCAAGTTTGACATTATTCAGAGGTTCAAAAATATGGCTGCCGTGAGGGACGACACAACAGGAATCAGCTTCGATGAACAACCCAAGTATCCTGTCCCCCCAGCAAGCAACGAAGGGAAAGGAAAAATGAGCCATCTGGAAGAAAATACAGAAGGGAAGAAGGATGACCATGATGACCCATCTGCACACATCCCTAACACTTCCCAACGGATGAAGTCTTCTACAGAGTCTAATAAAGCATGTGATGAAGGAGGGGTAGTCCCTCCACTTACCCCCTCCATGAATTATAAAAAGACAGAAAAAAATGAAGCAACTAATGGAGGAGGAAACAAATCAAATGCACACGTCACAGTAGACGATAATAACCCTGGGATGATAAAAGATAAAACAAACGAAACATTAAGTGGTACGAAAAACGAGACACATGCACATGACCCGAATGACCAGGTGCCGTATGATCTCCTTCAACATAAGGATTTCACCAGTGAGTGGGACATAGGAAACTACGACGCCATTGAGGAAGAAGATCGGGCGGACTCGAGTATATACAAATACTCAGCTTCGTTTGCTCTAATCGCTGTTGTCCTTCTAGGCGCCGCCTTTCTGTATATACGCAGCCAGAAGAATCTTATGGAGCCTGTCCCTGTTACCTTTAACGACTTTGTAACCCACAATGGGAAGAAGAAGGTGGAGTGTCGGGAGCAACATGTTGAATTGAAGCCAGATGAGACGTCTTGGCAGTAGGGCTTTTGACTCCCGCGAAGCGTCATTTGTTAAGATACGCTCCATTCTCACACTTTCAACAACACGGGTTGTTCTTTATTTAGCACCGTTTGAGCTTTTTTCCCCTCCCTCAGAATTAAATTATATATATATATGTATATATATATATTTTTTCTTGTCCTCCTTTCTGTACCATCTATATGGGTTTTGTGTGTATGTGCCCCCAAGGAGGGGAGGGGGGGGACCTCTACACGTTTCATGCTGACCTGACTGTTCGCTTAAGAAATCGCAGGGGGAGCGTCACCGTGTGCTTTTGTCGATTACTTTTGCCTTAGCCCATGTGGGTGTAACACCGTCAATTAACATTTTAAAAGGAAAAAAAAGAGATTGGGGGATTTTTCGCGGTTGGTAGCCCTTGGGTCCCTTTGTACGATATATCGTACTCTCTAACCGCACACATAATCCCTTTGGTTGGGGTGGAAAGGACTTCTCCGTGTTCACGCACATGTATGGGGGTGAGAAAACAAAAAAAAAAAAATTGGCCAATTGCGTAATCAATCGGGTCACCAATCTGGGGGACAAACGAATGAGTTTCTAATCGGGACACCCTTCTGTCAGTCAATCAGGACGATCAGAAAGGGGTGGTGGACGCGACTTACATGTTGCTGTAGGATGTCCATAGGCTAACCATTAACTTTAGCGTGGTGGCATTCACGCCCTGCGCCGTGTGCACTCGTACATGTTCTTGAGGATGTCCTCCTTCTCAGTGTAACTCGTTTCCTCTGCCCTGATGACCCGCACGAGGGTTCGAAGTGTTATTATCAAGTAGGGAAAGTTATCTAGCGTTTCGAACACTGTGACGTCTTTTAGAATTAGCGTAGAACCTATGCTTATGTGTTTTTTGTATTCCTTCTCGACCTCCTTATGTATAGAAGCTGGCATCTGGCCAGAAGGGTCCATGGCTACTATGAAGTACCCATGACTCCTGCATCTGATGCTCTTCACAAGCACCATCATTTTCTCGATTCTGTAATTTGCGAACCTTTTGTTTTTTAAAATGTTGTGGATATTGTGAGTGTACAGGAAGGAGGGTGCTCCGCCTACCGCTCCACTTGGCTCGTGCGAGTCTGGGCTAGATGCATACCTCATTTGTCCCTGGCTCCGATCCTGACCCGTTTGCTCTTCCCCCCAGTCCATCACATACCTATGAGCATTTATACTCAGGTGGAAGGGGTCCAAAGGCAGTTTCAGGATTTTCAAAGCCTTCACCCAAGAATTGTACTTTATAAATGAAAAGCAAAAAATTAACTCTTTCCTTTTTTCGATTTTGTTTTTTTCAGCAAGCGGATCTACTTCTATGCATTTGTCGGACATCTGTGAGGTGTATCTTATCGAGTTCAATTTAGAAGCACCACTTAAGAAAGAAATGGATGTGGTAGAATTTGTCCTCATGGGTGGCACTGTACTGGAGTTTCTACTACTAAACCACTTCGCCTTGTTCACAATTTGGGTTCCTTTCGTTGTGTCGTTACTTCTCATCTGAGGTGGTAACTCCTGTCCATCCTCATTGGTGACAAACCGTACAACGCGATTGGAGCTTCTTCCATTGGACCAGTTGACATTCTTTTCTCCATGCATAGGTACATTCGCATGGTCTGTTCCTTCTACACATTCGTTACGCTTCTTTAGTATTCTCTCTTCATTTTGCATTGCAGCACTGTTGGCTATTTCCACTTCTGCCTCTGCTTCATCTCCGTGTCGCGGTTCTCCCTGTTTAAACAGTTCAGTGTACAGGTTGGTTTCTGAGGCTCTTTTCTTGCCGCACAATTTTGTCGAGGAAGAGATCGGTGTGGCTGACTCCCATTCAAGCACATCTGCGCTTTCCCACCAATGGGCAGCATTCGCCTCTATCGTATATTTCACCACATCAGGGTTTCCCTCTGCTACCTTGTTGCTTTTGATGTCATGCTTCGCTTGCCCCCCGTGTGCATGTACAAGGTTAGTAGTACTCTGGGAAGAAGGCTCCAAAATTTTCCTTTTTGCAATTTCTTGCTTCTCAATTTCTAGAGGTGGGAAGTAATTTAAAGCGTGGCTACCGCACCTTCCATTTCGGTCATTGCTTGTATCGTTGTCTACCACCTGCGCGGCCTTCGCTACTGCGATTGTTCTATTTTCCCCACTAACAGAATTTGTACTGTTCGAATTTTCCCTCAGCTGTTCATTTTTCCTGTGGAGCGAGTTTCCCCTTTGATTGGCTTCTCCACTTGGCCTCAGCCAAGTCGACGTGCGCGAAGCGGTGCGCTGAATCTCTCCCTTATGTTGTGCAACAGTGCCGAAGTCGCCACTGGTGTTTTTAAAAAAATTATCCAAATTCTCTATGTTGCGAATGTTAAAGTTTAGGATAGACTTGGGGAGAAACTCTCCATCACTCTCATTGACCACATTGCTGCTCTTCTGACGCAGCTGTTGCTTCCTCTTTTTGTCTTCATTTTTTCTGGAGCAGTCGTCATCGCTCTCGTCTAACAGACATGACAAATTTTCATCGAGCATAATGCTCAGCTAAGGCCATAAAATAAAATAAGCATAAAGGGAAATACCGGGGAAATAAAAAGGTCTTAAAAGCATAATAAGAATATGACAAAAAAAATATGTGAAAAGTAAAAAAAAAAAAAACAACATGAACGGGTCAGGTGAAAATGTGCCAATGGGGGCAAAAAACAGCTGTTAAAAATGGCTAGTTTTTTTTTTTTTTTTTTATCCCGGTAAGCTCATGTTGTAAATGAGGAAATCAGGCTAGTTGACCGGGTGTGAAAAAAGCTAAGAATTGGGTGAAGGAGCGAGAAGTTTCGCGGAACATGCAAGACGAAGGGGGAAATACACGAATAAGTGGCGGCAACAAATCATGCGCAAAAACGCCGCCACAAAACGGAAAAAAGGCGACTACAAAAAAAAAAAAAAAAAAGAAAAAGAACAAGCAGAAGAAGACTAACGGTGCCTGTGCAAGTTGGGAGATACATTTGGACGCACGCATATCATCATATGTATATATATACGCATTTATTCTCTTTTTTGGTCACCTTTTTTGCTTACAAGGTTTCCCTTCTGCCTGGGATGCCCTCTTATAAGGTTACACACACATACATACTAATGCGTGTGTTCACGTTGTGTACCCTTGTATGTACAAAAAAAATGTGCATGTTTGTGAAAAAAAAAAAAAAAAAGCCTTGTTGCATAGCATGTTATCGTAGGGTGGTACGTAGGATATGTTTACCTAGTGAGGGGGTTACTCCCCCACGTGCACACACGCGATGCAACATGGTGATTACGTGAACAACGCGGCGCAATTCACGCTGATCTCATTATAATGGCAACGAATGTTACCCATTGAGCCCAGCCAAGTTGTACTTTTTCTCGTAAACGCTCCTGAGGAAGTGCACAAATTTCTCAATGTCAACGACACAATCGATGGAGCTTGCCTTAATTTCTGTTGCCTGGGTTATATGATTTTCCAACTTTTTCAGCATTTCTTTTTTTCGCTTTACATGATCCTTGTTCGCGTTAACAGCTTCATTCGTCGCGTTGACAGAAAAGTCTGGAAAAAAAAAATTGTAAAAAATGGACGTTTCGGGTGTCTTCACGGAGGCTGGTTTTTCTTTGGCGTTCTTTTTGTCAATCTTGGTGGCTATGCAGGCAATAGGTATTTCTCCATTCAGAATTTGGTCCCCCTTTTTGGCGTGTCCCTTTTCGATGTCCGAGTCGTCATCGCAGGCGAAGGGGTCTTCATCCAGGTGTCTCTCGCGGGGAGAAGCATAGCCGTCGGAGCATCGGCTCGGGTAGCGGCTGGCATAACGACTAGCATAATCATCCGCGTAGTGCTTCGCGCATGTGTCGTTGTGTCTGTTCTTTTGCGAGTCCATGTACCCCCCATGGTCACAGCACCCGTTCGGTGTACCCCTTCCGGAGTGGCCGCCTTGCACCCCCTTGTTGTCTTCCTTGCTGTCGACACCCTTGAACAGGTTCCAAAACTTATTTCGACCTCTTTTAGCGGAGCAAAACATATCCGATGGGGCCTTCGTATGCTCACACACTTCGTACACCCATTTTGCTAAATTGTGATAAGACTTATTATTTGAGGAATCGTAAACAAGTAAAATTCCATCATGCTTTGTGTAAAAAATGTTTCTTATACAAGAGTAGGTTTGGATACCTCCTATTTCAAGGAACTCCACAAGAAGTGCCTTTTCATCTTCACCACGAACGGTCAGCATATCAGGCAAGTGGCCCCCACTGTGCCTTATGTTCAGGGGAATATTTTTCTCGAACTTGTTGTTGTTATATGCCTTATCCATGTACCAGAGAAAAGTAAAAATTTCAAATCCGTAGGTGTACTTGTGTCTTTGCTCACAAAAAAAATTATAACCATTCATTTTACTCTCGATGAATTCTAGGAAATTCTTTTTAGCTTGAAAAAACATGGACTCCACCAATGCCTGGACCCTCTGCGATTTGCAATTATTTACTGCCAAATCTTTGGAACTCACGAATTTTTTTCTCGCCTCTCCTTCCTCCTCTAAATGCATATAATAGTCGAAGAAGTTAATTGGGTATATATCTGAAAATCGTTCTGTAATGAGTTTGAGGAAGGAGCTCTTCCCCACGCCCACGTCTCCCAGTACCAGTATTCTTAGGCTCTCCATCGGGGGTAGGGGGTGGGCGCAACGAACACAGTGGACTCACATACAAGGAGGTTACACAGTTTTAGTGCCTCCCGGAGGTCACTTCCCCAAACGAACGCGACGATAAAAAAGAAAAAAAAAGAGTCCACATAACCGGACAAAAGTGACAAGAATAAAATTCCCCACTTTGCATAACCAATTGGGGAATTGCTTCCTTTTTTTTACCCCTTCTACGTCTTGGCCACACGCTGAAATTACCTCCTAGCGGTTTTTTCCATTTCATTTTAAAGTGCCTTATTGGCTCTTCCCCTGGATCCCACAACGCTCGTGTAGAATGTCGAACCGCAGTTGTGGGAAGGCCGCATTGGAAGTATATTCTCTACTACACGATTGAACAAACATTTGTGTGCGTGTCGCTACTTCTTCCCTTTCCGCTTTGCAAGCTCCTTGCTTCCATTCGCCCCTCCCCTCTCATCATTTTTTTTGCTCGCTTGTGTCGAGTCCGTATGCAGCTTCTTGTCCATTCCTTCCCCAACACTTGGCCATGTGTGTATAGTTCCCTTCTCAGTGCCGCAAATGAGATGGGAGAATTGGAAACGACATTTTACGGAAGAATAACAAAGTGTAGAAAACGTAATCGATGTTTTTTCTCGCCCCTCTTTTTTTTTTTTTATTTTATGAACAAATGAAATGCGTCCCCTACGCCGGGGAGAGTAAATTTGTTAGCAAGAGGGGAAATAAAAGCACAGCATCGGTGTGCATGCGTAGATGTACACATTGGCACTTTACAAAAAAAAAAAAAAAAAAAAAAAAAAATTTACACACACGTGTTAGTGGTTGAGGAAGCGGACCCTTTCTCTCTTCCTGTGTTAACTCCTCCAACTGTATGCAGGTGTACAGTGGGAACTGTTTTGTTGGTACAACGCAGGTGCACCCCAATTTTTTTTTTTGAAGCGTCTGACCGAAAGGCGTGTGTCATTTTTCTCTCGACGAGGTGGCTCTTCCAACGGGATTATACGAGGACATTCCCTGTTTAACCTTTTTTTGTGGGAGGCTCAAATGGAACGTGCAAAGAGGAACACACGCACGCGTCGACATATATATATCCCCGTATTGTGTAGCGCAATGTAGCGCTCAGTGGGGCTTGCAAAGTACCTCCTACTACTACTACAGCAGCAGCGGTAGCGGTCGCTTACAACGCGGCTACGAGACACACAGCCCAGTGCACCGCGCATAGGCTCTCTTAAGCCATGTATGTACATACGAGCACGCAGAACCTGACCTTTGTATTCTATGCGCTTATAGTATTACCCATTTATAAATATAAAAATACGGGGATAATTTCAAACGGGTGGTGGGGAAGCCTAATGGGCCATCCATCCCCTACCCTTCACCAGTTCACCTTCCAGTGCGCACAATTTTTAGTGCGTTCAGTTTGGCCAGGTAAAAAAAAAAAAAAAAAAAAAAAAAAAATATATAATAAAATGAGTTTGCGAGTAAATTCGTTGCTATGAAGAATAAAGGGGCAAGAAGGAGGAAAAATTAAAAAAAAAAAAAAAAACGCCATCAAACGGGTCGTTTTAATTATTATCCTCATCCATCACACAGTGGCCCATCGCCATCCCCATCCCCATCATTTCATTTGTTTGTTATTGCATCCTCGTTAGCCTTCATATGATCCTCGACTGCTGTACATCATCACCATCGCAGTGCGGGCGGATAACATAAAAACTTGTTCCTACGAGGGGGGAGCGATGCTTGGAACAAAGCGTTCACCTATTTTCAACCCCTCATGAACACAAACACATAATTTTTGTGAAGAAATAACAAGAGGATATGCATTTGTGCATTCCTTCTCTCCACAAGCTTGTACGCCGCATATGAAAAAAAAAGCTAGAGTTGCTTTTTCCTCAGTGTATCTTCGTGACACATATGCGTGTTACATGGAAGCGGTAATGATTGTGCCTACCCCAACTGGATCCCCTTTTTAACATATGAAAAGAAGAATTCGTGCGGGTTTAGCGACAAACGTTTGTAACCCCCCCCTGTCGCAGCATCACGCATTGTTATTTCTACCCCTCCTGTTGTAACTGCGTCAACACAACATAGAAGTTCGTTCACGCACAAAATCACGTTAGGGAGTATCTTGAAGTCTTTATATGTCCCCTTGCACATTAACAATTTTGTATGTAATTTGTGAAGCCAGAATATATTATGTGGATCCTCTTTGTGTTACACGTAGATCTGCCTCCCATGTACATCTGACGCACAGATTGGCCACCCCGTGCAACATCAACCCGAGCTGCGCAAAAAGAAGCCATAAAAAAAAAAAAAAAACACGCCAGGGACACGGAGATACGTAAATAAAACAGAGGGAAGGAAGAAGAGAGGGACGAGTCGGGGAGTCGACATCAGAGCTGCTTCTTCCCTTTTTTCTCCTCCCGTGTTGCCTCCAGGTATCACCACACCCTCATCGCGATCCCCTACCTGCCCATTCGGAAGAACCGAATGAGTCCGCCCGGAGCCCTGAGGGAAGTCACGCGAGAGCAAAATGCTGCGAGTGAAAAACGTGTTCTGCAGGTACAGGAGTAGGGGGCGGTTCTCGGAGGCTCCCTGCAGCGCGGTCGGCACACTTAACCATGTCCGCTCAATTAGCAGCGTTGCCGCTATTAGCGGCGTTAACAAGAGTGACCCGGTTGGCAGGGCGAGCGGGGTGCGCCGCATGAGCAGCGGCGAGCAGCTGGCGGCAGACGTGTACGACACGGTGGTCATAGGGGGGGGCGTGACTGGAACAGCCCTGCTCTTTCTCCTGTCCAAATTTACCAGCCTGAAAAAGCTAGCCATCTTAGAAAGGAGAACCGACTTCGCCCTGGTGGCTTCGCATGGGAAGAATAACAGCCAGACAATACACTGTGGCGATATAGAAACAAATTATTCGTTCGAAAAGGCAAAGTTTATAAAGCGGTATGCAGATCTGTTACGAAATTATTTGTGTCATTTGCCAGCAGAAAAGAGAGAGGACATTGCAAGTGTGACACAAAAAATGGTCCTCGGGGTAGGGGAAAAGGAATGTGATTTCTTAGAACAAAGATACCCCATATTTAATAAACTCTTCAAATCTATGAAGCTCTATAATAAAAATGAAATATATAATGTGGAGCCCCGAGTGGCTTTAAAAAATGAAAAGACACTTCGACCTGAAGCATTAGCAGCTTTATACATGCCCCCAGAATTAACGACCTGTGATTACCAGAAGCTTTCTAGGAGTTTTGTTGAATCTGCTAGAACAATGAACAATGTGGACTCGAAGAAAATCTCCATCAACCTTAATACTGAAGTGATAAACATTGAAGAAGCAAACGAATCATTATACATAATACATACGAATAAAGGAATGGTTAAAGCAAGATTTGTCGTTGTGTGTGCTTGTGGACACTCCCTCATGATTGCTCAAAAAATGAATTACGGGTTAGAGTACAGTTGTCTTCCGGTGGCAGGAAGTTTTTACTTTTCAGGTAATATTCTTAATGGAAAAGTTTATACTATACAAAATCCAGCTCTTCCATTTGCAGCTGTTCATGGTGACCCTGATATTATTGAAAAAGGGAAGACTCGCTTTGGTCCTACTGCCCTGCCACTACCATTATTAGAACGAGATAATATGAACACCTTACTCGATTTTTTAAAAGTATGGAACCCTGACTTTAGTCTCTTCCATGTATATTTTAATCTCTTCAAGGATCCCACCATGTTGAAATATGTGTGTAGAAATTTCCTTTTTGAAATTCCTATTCTGAACAAATATTTATTTTTGAAGGACGTGAGAAAAATCATTCCTTCCCTCACCACTCGAGATCTTTCATATTGTGTTGGCTATGGAGGAGTCAGACCACAACTCATAAATAAGGTCAGTAAGAAACTTATCCTGGGAGAGGGAAAAATTGATTCGGGAAAAAATATTATTTTTAATATTACCCCCTCCCCTGGGGCCACCACCTGCTTGGGAAACGGAGAATTTGACATGAACACAATTTGTGAGCGCCTCAATGCCACTGTGGACAAGACTGCCGTGAAGAAGTTCCTCTACCAGGGGGAATATCCCGTCGATTATTTGTAGGCCGCACCACGACAAGCGGAGCGTAGTGTAGCGTAGCGCAGCGGCGACTGCTTCTTACTCCCTGCCATACGCTTCACGTCAACGTCTCTTTCCCGCGCGTCAATCCTGAGCAAAGTGGTAACTCCAGGACCACGCGTCTTTTTGTTCCCTTTCAAATGTGACCCTTTTTTTTTTTTTTTTAAATATAAAACTCGTCCCCGGAGGCTTCCCCCCTCTCATGGTGGTGCACAAAGGAAGTATTTTTTTTTTTCTTTTTTAAAATGTGTTAACTATATGGAGATTTTTTTGTTTTGGAGGATGTGTTAAGGCCTCCCCTTTTTTTGTTCCTAATGATGCAGTAGCCCGAATGTATGGCTTCACTATGCACATGTTCATTGAGACTACCCCCTTTTGCTGCCCCCCGATTGTGAACTCATAAATGGGAAAAGGGAAAAAAAAAAAAAAAAAAAAATATATGAACCGTTCAGGCAAAAATAGAACAAATGATTAATTTTGGAAAAAAAAAAAAAAATTACAGCCACGGTAGAGGCTACTCTATTAATAGAATCCAAGGGGGAGAATACCGCGCGAGCTGCATACCACCACGCTGCTTACACGAAAAAAAAGAAAAAAAAAAAATGCCCGAGTTGGGGAACATCACAATGTAACCAAATCTGCACCTCTCCACAGCTTCTCCCTCTCCAATTTTGTATGCCATTAAAAAGTAGGGCAAATTGTGCAGAGGTGGGGAGAACGGCGCCTTCAATCTGACGAATCAGGGGGGAAGGGAAGCTTTTTTTTTTTTTTTTTTTTGCAAATTGATTTAGAACCAGTGTACTGAGAAGACATCCACTGCTGCGTAGAGGTGGATCGAGCTAGTGGAAGTGGGATGAACCCCTCCCCCAGAACGGATGCCAAAAAAAGGGGGTCATTTAGGGTAACAGATCAGCGAAGGGAGGAGACCCTACACCCTCCAACGCAAGCTACAACGCAAGCTACAACGCAAACGACAGCGCAAACTGCAACGCAACTACAACCCTCCTCTCTCCTTCATCATGTTCTCCAAGAGAAAAGTAGTTAAGCGGAACATTCGCAAGGTCACGGGGGATGACGCCTCCAATTTGAATGGGCCGCCCAATGATGAGGGAAAGGAAAATTCTACTCAGGAGGAAACCACAGTGGGGAGGAGAATAAGCGAAGTATGCGTTGCTCAGGGTGAGGTTGTAGTACCACCCGTCCCCGAAGGGGGATCTGCAACCCAAGAAGACGACATGCACGTAAGGGAGCCACCGGATGAGGAAAAACATGAGGAGGAAGTATATGGGAGGAGGGTCCCCCAAATGGAAAGCGATTCAAATGGGTACTGCACCAATGGGAAAGGCTCTGAGGAGGAAGAAGAAGAAAGTAATCATCACCAGGTGGAGAAGAGGAAGGGATCGGACGAGCGCACGTCTCTACACCCTTTGCTACCCCACTCACAGTTTCAGTCGGCCTCGACGCACACGCAAGAGGCAACCACCAAGAAGGGAAAAGGTAGCAGAAGGGAGATGAAGAAAAATGAAGAGACGAGGAAAGTTAATAAGATGAACACGAGCTTCCACATCTACAGTGACGAGGAAAACGATTGTTATGTGGCCATTCGGAAGAGGAAGAATGTAAAGAGGGGCATTCAGAGCGGGTCCATTCAAAACGCATCCATTCACATGGGGGATTCACCCGACATGGTGCAGGCAGCCAAGGACGTAAAGGACAACCCCGTCGACAGTGACGCGGAATTAAGGGAACCACTCCCAGGGGGCGTTTCTGAACGAGATTTTTTCCTTCGAAGGTATGGGGTGGATCTACACCAAGGGGGGGTCAATCGGACAGGACAGCAACAGTTACTGCATGATGAGGAGGGAAATAATCTTTCAAATTTCGAAGAGGGGCAAACAAACATACGAACATACACTTCTACACAGAGGAATGAAACTGCACCGATGGAAAAAAACGTTTTCGTGTATGACCCTGATGAGGAGCGCTATGAAGATAACCCTGTCGACATGAACAGCCTCGGTGGAGACCCAAACGAAAATAAATATTCGTACAACAAAAGGGAACGTTATGCAAGGGAGGAAGACCACGTGGAGGCTCACGACACCGGTGAGAGGTACCCACATGTGGCTGTCCACAGAGGGGAAGCAGGTGGAAAGGAAGATGAAGAGGATTACCAAGACGAGGAGGAAAAAAAACTCATCGAAAGGATAAAGTTGAAGAAACAAATTTTACGAAAAAAAAAAAAACTCAGTGATAGGTATAGCTACCTACTGGAGGAAGACCATGAGGGAGGGGATCCTGCTGGTATTGATTTTTCCCTGGGGATGACTGCACAGCAGTTGGGCGGAAAGAACAAAATGGCAGCAATGTGGGAGGGGGACGACTCACCGAGGGAAGAGGACCTCCCCGGCGAAGACGACCTGGACGTGGACGACATATACAATTACGAATCGTTGAGCGAAATGAAAAACAGACTTATAATAAAAAAAAACAAAAGTGAGGAGGTGAACATGTTTTATGGTGTGGTAGGGGGGGGAGAAACGACTGAGCGGGGACATCCCCACCAAATTGGTAGCTCCACAAGGGAGTATATAAAACAAATGCAGGAGGATGAAATGATTAACAAAATTGTAGACACAAAAATCATTTCGCAGTTAAGAAGGGAGAAGAGGGGTTTGCAGCAGCAGGGGATTTTCACCCCCCCCGATGAGGGTGGCACAACAGATCCCTTGTTCGATGAGAGGTCCAAACAGAGTGACGATCAAGCAGAGTTAAATTTGAAAAAGCATTCTTTGCATGGCGATCGTTTTCCGGTGCCCCGTCATGATGTTCCCACCGCAAATGACACAGAGGGGAAAAAGTTAAATGAGCAGCAGAAGAGGGAGCAAAATGGTGAAGAGGAGGAGAGGGAGAAGGGAAGAAATGTGAATTTTTTAAAAATGGAAAAACGTCTTAACCACGACAACTACATGGATGAAGAGGACTGGCGAAACAATGCGCAAAGCAACGACCGTGCTTATCAACACGAAAATGAAATTCTCTTTAGTGAAATAAAAAGAACTTTTAAAAAATATGGTGTGTGTAATACACAACTTGTGGAAATGTACGAATACATCCTGGACCTGTTTGAGGAGTACAAGTTTTTAAAGGATGAATCAGGACAAGTGAAAAGTTTGGAAAAAAATTATAAAAAAAAGTACATGGAATTGGAGGAGATTAAAAGGAAGAGGACAAAAGAACTTGTCACCTGTGCAAGCTTCTTCAGATTTTTTTATCATGTGATGAAATTTATTAACGCGAAAAGTAATCTGTTAGACAATGCACTAGCAGAGTCCTTCGAGATGGATGTCACTTTTTTTATCGTATACCAAAATCTCAAGTTATACCTGTACAGGGAGTACTACGAAAATTACAAACTTCTGTTCACCAAGGATTATATTTATAACTCGAAATATTACAAACGGAAGAAAGAGGAGGACAAAAACGGGTTGGTTAAAGAGTTAGTATCGGATGGAGTTGTCCCCAACTGCCACTACGTGCACGGATCTGCACCCTTTATCGAGCACCTTATCAATGAGGTCAACCACCCCAATAGGTTCAACGACATGCGTGTGCACTACATGTTCGACGGCTACTCCAGCAACTACTCTACTGATTCTTCGTCCTCCGATTCGGGAGAGGCTACAAGCGATGTAATGAAGAATGACCAGGAACATGTAGAGAGAAGGGAGCAGAAGCGGAAGGAAGACAAACAAAAATACTTCCAAACGTGCAAGATCAAAGCATTGAAGAGGAGGTACCTCGTAGCCATCGGGAACATCTTCAAGGATGTCCACTCTTATTTTTTAAACTTTAAAAATGCTATAACATATTTTTATCTCCTCAAATTACACAACGAAGATTTTTACCTAACACACAATTGCAAGTCCCTATTCGATCCTATTTTTTTTTTTTTTATAAAATATGAATTGCTCTTTTGGGATCCCCTATACCAATTCACTCAGACCAGAAACAAAAAAAGGAAGTTGCTGGCCCTGATCGAAGAGCAAATTATGGGGAGCCAATCGGAGCAGATGCATGACAAGTTTGTGCAGCTGTATAGAAATGACGCATTCGCCAATGCACATAATATCCTGCGGAGGAAGAAACAGGTCCTGTCGCCTGGGCGGAATTGGACATTTGCAGATGACACCGCCAATTCGTCTTACGAGGTGGACGAAGCAGCTTCCTCTGTGGATGGCTTCCGAAAAGACCCATCGACAGAAAACGAGATCGAGCACAGCACGCACTCGTCGGAATCGGAGGACGCCTTTTCTTTCACAAGTTCGAGCGCCGCCCAGGGGGAAATATCGTCACTCTTGGAAAAGTCGCCAATGGGGGAAAAATCGCCGATCGCGTACAAATCGCCAATGGGGGAAAAATCGCCGATCGCGTACAAATCGCCAATGGGGGAAAAATCGCCGATCGCGTACAAATCGCCAATGGGGGAAAAATCCCCAACCGCGGACAAAACCCCCTTGGAGAAAACAAAAAAAAAATACAAGCCCCCGAAGAACCACTTCCACAACAACCCCAGCGTAAAAACATTCCAGTGGTACAAATTTATGGACGAGCTCATGTATATTTACCAAGTGGAAGACGAAAAGGAAGTCCTGAAAAAAGTGTACGACCAAATTTTTAACAATAAGGTGCACGAATTAGTGGAGGCATGGAACCCCCTATCCTTGAAGCAAAGCTACAATTTGTGCGTAATCCTGGCGGAGTACCTCCTCTACAATGAGGACCGGACACAGGTTACCGACATGGTGAAGGAGAAGATAAACAATTGCGTGTTTACATTTTTCGAGGGCTATAAAAATATAAGTAGCCAAAAAAAAAAAAACATCGTCCTAATGAGGTGTTTAAAGATATTAAAAAGTGTAAGGGGTATCCTCTCTTTGCTGAGTGACGACGCCCTGCACGATTTTGTTAAAAAAATATTTTACAATTTTGTCCTCACGAATTATGATTATTCCAGCAAATTACATAACTTGATTGTGTCAGCCGTGGTGCACATAATCCTCTCCATGGGTGTTCCACAGGAGAGCAAATTTTTCGAAGACATGTCCAGCGTGTTGTGTGGCATCACGGATAGGATGCACTCGGGCGACTTCGACTACGGGAAGTTCAAGGTGGAAAATTAGGCCAATCGCAAGATTCTTACTATTTGTTGGAAGTAAGAAGAAGGGGAGAATTGTCTCCAACCCTTGGGATGGTGCCCACGGGGAGCTTTTGTTACTCCCTACCTCACCCCCGAGGCGTGTTTGTCATCCTGTACTCATTTGTATAACTCGTGTGTGTGTGTGTTTTTTTTTTTTTTTTGGTGCCCCCTTGGGTGAAAGGAAGCGAAACTTTGCAAAAAAGGGGACGCACATCATGGATGAACTGTTCCATCCGTTGCGATTTCTTTCCGCGCTCGCTCCTCCCTATATTAGTGTCTAAATGGACACATTACAGCATTTTTGCGTAGCTTTCCCTACCTAGTTTGCTCTACTTTGTTGTCTTTTTTTTTTTTTTTTTTCATTTTTTATATTTCATGCTGACTTGGTCATAATATTTTTCAAACAACGGTTAAAAAAAAAAAAAAAAAAAATATGACTTGTTCATAAATTTAGGTGTACTTTTTTTTTTTTTCGCCAAAATGGCTATTTATGGGGAGTATAAACAATTGGCATAAATTGGTACAAAAATGGTGTTAATTTCACACACAATTTCACTTAGTGTGAACACCGAGACCAAAATTGAAAGCGCAAAAAAAAGGGGGGGGAGGGGAAACTTATAAACTTTAAAAAGGGAAACTGGCGCCGCATGTGCGCACGAACGATCGCACAGAGTTGTGCATTATGCATATTTTAAAAAAGTATGTGCCCGCGTGTTCAAATGGGGTGTTCAGAAGTGACGGGGTGCGTCCCGTAATGTTCGGGAAAAGGAGGGGCCGCTTGTTCACCCAACTTCGCCCATGTACAATTTCGCCTTGTTAATCCACTCCCCCTGCTACGGTGTGGGTTGCACGGGCTGCTCCTGCGCAGGGGCTATGTGCATCATGAAGCCAAACTTGTACTCATTGTTCGGGTAATCTATGTACCCGCTAACCCCAAAGCCTGAGTAGTCCTGTGTGAAGACGGCAATTTTTCCACTCGTGTCAATACTTCCCTGCACCTTCGCATGACGGAAGGAGTAGTCCCACCCCAGACGCATGGCCGATTCCTTGGTCTGCGGAGTGACCTCAAGTTCTGTCCCCAAGGATAACCGATCGGACACTTTTTTGGCGTACTGAATTTTATATAAGTGTGTCTGGTTAAGCATAAATTCAGGCGATTTAAAATTTGGTTGTCTCACCACCTGCATGGTCAGAACATTATTTTTGTGGTTGTATCGAAGTCCGAAGGATCCAATGGAAGCACAATTGGAAGCTATGTAGGTTAGGTCTACCCCTGCTTGAAATTTTTTACTCAACATTTGGGTATACGACGCGTTGAAGATCCACGTGCCCTGCCATATGGTCTTCACATTGTAAGTGTATATAGGCTTATTAACCTCTATACCCATTTCGTACATATTCCTGGTATCGCTTTTTGCATAAGTGTTAAAATTGAGTTTGCAGTCAATGTGGTTGTTTATTCTTTTACAAAATCTACCATTCACACTGCCATCAATATTTATTCTGCTAATCATTAGCAAGCTATTATCACTGTTTGTGAAATTTGCCCCGAATTGATACAAGTACCCGACATCCCTTAGTGTAGTTCCAAGGAAAAGTGTGTGTGTGGACTGTAAGTATTTGTTCACTGTTTTATCTACTTCAAATCTGAACCCATCGAAATTGTCTTGCGTAGTTATAAACTTGTATTCCTTGTTTAGGTTTTCAAATAGTAAAGCATTTGGTGAATCAAATGTATTTGCGAAGGAAGAGTTGGCTTGTTGCTCCTTCATCGCATTTGTATCGTCATCATTCATTTTATTTTTCTTCCCCTCTCCAACATTCTCTGTTAAGGTACTTTTTTGTCCTTCTTTGGGTAACTCATTTGATGTTGCCTCACATAGGGTGATGAGGCTAGGCACCCCCATCCCCCTCCTCCTCATCCTCCTCCACAAAATTGCATTCCCTTTTTTCAGGGCGTCCATGAAGGGGTACTTACAACATTGTCCCACGTGCTGCTGCTCTTCTCTTTCTCTTCGCCATTTCTGCAAAAGTCCAATACCCGCAATCTCCATAATTATACAAGTGTGTAATTGTTTGTCGCAAGGGGTAGCCTACCTCTCTCTGTGTTCAGTTTTACACGCGTATGAAAACTCCTTCCCTTGTGCATGTTTTTGCCCAGTGGGGTCCTTGGGGTGTGCCACACTGATGGTCAAGTCTGCTACTCCTCCTCACTTTTTTTTTTTTTTTTTTTTTTTTTTTTCCTGTGCGCTCACATAGCAGCGAATCAATTGGGTAATTAAAAATGGGTGACTCTTTCAGGGGTATGCAACGTGGTAGTGTATACACAAAAAAAGGAGGGCTACACTATCGCACGTTATATTTGTCGACGTGGCGATGAGCAACAACATGTAGGGGAGTCCTCTATATCTATACTAGTTTTTGTTTGTTTGAGTTTTTCTCATTCTCACTCGATTGTTTTTTTTTTTTTTTTACTATTTATATTATTTTGTTCATTTTTTTTATATATATATATATATTTTTTTTTTACCTGTTTTTTCCGTGCCCATTTTTTTTCTACCTTTTCGGACCTCCTCCTTTTTTCCGCTGCTTACCCCGTGCAGCATATTTTTGTGAAGCCGCACCTTCACGGGTTGACAATTCTTTAGAGATTCACATTTGTGAGTATATTTTGTGCTACTTCACACGCAGTTAAGTTTTATGCGTGGCTACGACTTTTTTCGAAGATTTCTTTTTTTTTTTTTTTTTCCACCAAGGTCATCTGTGTATGTGCCTGCATGAAATGTGGCATTTTCCCCCTTTTGTGCATTTTTGTTTTGTTTTTTTTTTTTTTTCTCCATTTAGATGTATATTGTAGTAGGCGGCAGTTGGAGGGACGTTGCTTAGGTGGGAGTTGTGCATGGATCCCCTCAACTCGTTTACCAACCTCATGGTGTAGAAGGTCGTTTGTGCTAAGGTGTTACCCTTTAAACATTTTGCATCCCCACGGTTAGGATAAAATGACCTCACCACGGTGTGCTGTATGCTTGTACATACATTTACACACGCATCGGTTTCTACGGGTTAACTATTTTGTATGCCAACCTAATTTCGTAGCACCCGCGGGAGGTACGTGGAATTTTCTTCCCCGCCATTCTCATTTTAGCAGAGTGCGCCCCCCCCCTTGTGGCAGTACTTGGCCTAAGCGCACGTCTCAGCCCACACAACCAAGTGAGAACAAATGAAAATGGTGACTCTCCTGGTCATTCGTACAAAGCACCCATTCGATCTGCTCATTTGGGAAAAGGAACTCGCCCCGAGTGTGTGTCCACCCGATTTAGAGCACAACCTTTGCGGAGGGACAAAAAAAAAAAAAAAAAATGAACGCTTCTTTACTGGATGACACTGCTCGTCTTTTGGCTCCATCATCCCTGTAGCCCTTGTAGGGCAGGCAGATGTTGTAGTGAATAATTTTATTTGTGGGATGTGATTACTGAACGGAGTGTATTCAGGTTGATAAGACGAGAAACAGTCACATAATTTAGCCAACGTGATGGAGGGCTATGAACAGCGGCTTATGCTTCACGCCAAAAGGGGGGGAATGTGAAAAAAATTCGTTCATATAAAAGTTAGGACAAGCAAGCAAAACTTTTTTACATATTTGCAACACCCCGCCGTCAGTAAAAAATTATAGGGAACCCCTTTTTTGAGCTCCTCATAATAAAGAGTGGACACCCTCCTCATCTGTTTCGTTTTCTTCTCACCTTACATATTATACACCATTTTGGGGGGAAACTGCATATGGAAAAGCCATTTTTCGTTATGCTTCCGTCAGTTTATCCCCTGGAGAGGAAAAAAAAAATAACGCGTCTGTTTTTTTTTTGCGTATATTATAACATAGTTGTTGGCATGCCCCCCTTTGCCTTTTTTTTTTTTTAACCCGCGGGTGAGAGCAGTCCCCAACCCAAGTCGCTGCGTCATTTAAAAAAAAAAAAAAAAAAAATGTTAACAGGAGAGTTGGTCCAACAAGCTACGAACGTCTGACAAATTCATGCGTTGCATTTTCAGCGAGTTGCAATTTACTGCTTGGCCATTTTTTTTACCGTCTCGTATATTGTTGCCACCGTGAGGGACGCGCCAAGGGTTGTTAACGCGCATAAAGGATGATTATATAAAACCCGTTCCCTGTCCTTGCACCGATCTCAAGTACAACGTATGTACCAACGCCCAGGGCGAACGCAATAACTGTTATGGCAAGCACGACCGCCACGATTTTTTTTCTTTTTCAGTAGTTTTCCCGGCTTTTCTCCACCGCGTGCACCGTGGGTTTCCCCCCAACTCCTTTACGCAAGTTTTCTCCCTTGGCGATGCGCTGGATTGCCTGAAGAATGGAAAAGGGAGAAGGGCCACTCGGCTTTTTTTTTTTTTTTTTTTTTTTTTTTTTTTTACATTTTCAATAAAGAAGCAGCAAGTGGGGGTTTAGTCAAAGATACAAAAGGTATCAGATTAAAAATTAGTTACCCCATAATAAGGGCTATCTCTTTTTTTTTTGTTGTGATGTTTTTTTTTCTTTTTTGTGCGTTTAATTTTTTTTTTTCATTTTGCTTCTTCTCCCCTCGCACTTTCTGTGGGCGCAAAAAGGTGGCGACTGGGGGGTAAATGAAGCTTTTTCCGCGCCTGCCCCTGTCTCTCTCTCTCTCTCTGCGGCGATTTCGCAGTGGGCACGTTGCGAGGGCCTCCACGTGACGACCGTAGGGGCCCCTTCCCCTCTCACCAACTCCTGTTTATATATGTTCCACAGCCTGCCTGCCAAAATGATGAAACACAGCATCAAGGGGCTGTACTGCTTCATCGACGAGATCCGGAACTGCAAGTGCCTGGAGGACGAGGAGAAAACGGTGTTGCAGGAAATAATTAAAATAAAAAAAAAGTTCAATGAAAAAAATATAAGTAATTATAAAAGAAAAAAATACATATGGAAACTCATATATTGTCACATATTGGGGTATGGAATTTCCTTGTCCTACCTGGACATTATAAAGTTAATGAGTAGCACCAACTTCAGCGACAAGTACTGTGGGTACACAGCTCTCTCCCTGCTAGTGAATGAAAATAGTGAAATGCTTCACATGATGATTAGTACTATCAAGTTAGACCTGAAGAGTAACGATGAAAAGGTAAACTTCCTGGCCCTCCATTTGGCTAGCCAAAAAATTAATGACCTCCTGATTGAAAATATGTATGAAGACATACTTCACATAGTGACCTCAAATTATATTTACAAGCCTAACATCAGGAAGAAGGCCTTCCTGTGTCTAGCAAATATTTATAAAAAGAGACACGACCTATTACTTAAGAGCAAAACGGAGTTTGAAATATTTAAATTTCTCGAACAAAATCTTAATGAAGTAAATATGTTTAACGTTTTTGCTTATCTCAATTTGATTTATGTAATCATTTTGGTGTTTCAAAAGTATGAGGCCATGGAGGAATACCGGAAGAAGCAGGACGGAAAGGAGAAAAAGAAAAAGAAGAAGAAGAAGAAAAAAACAAAAAAATACGGGGAAGGGAAGGACCACCATGGGGGGGTCGACGACGACGCGGAGGAGGATGATAGCGGCGGTGAGGAGGACGAAGACGACGACCAGGAGGAAGACGAAGAGGACAGCGGCGATGAGGAGCAGGAGGAGGACGAGGATGAAGAGGATGATGACGGGGGAGGAGGGAACCGAAGAGAGGAACACTCCATCAAGCGGGAAGACCTCAAAGTAGACTCCAACAACGCTAGCAGCATTGGTAACAAGAAAGTAATCTCGTTGAATATAAAAGACGAGGTGAAGAGGAAAAGATATTACAAACACAACAGCTCCTCTCTTTCAAATGAACAGAGTTTCCTTTATAACGATTTGAAGAAGGTAGACAAAATCATGGAAGTCGATTCTGAATGTAATTTGAATCTGGAAGAAATAAATTTTCCTGAAATAAAAAAATATGTTAACAAATATATTCACTTCATCCTGAACATGTTATACCTCGTATTAGATGAAAATTTAACAATTGATGAAGGGTTTTACTACAGCCACTTTAGGTACCCCTTCTTGTTAATAAAGTGTTTACAAATGCTTCAGCTATACGACTTACATGCCTTATCGCAGAACACCATTAACAATATAAACGATATTTTATACAAGATAGTTACCAAGCCGTTTAAGAAGTTGCAGGGAAAAATTGGCTTCGAAACGGCGAAAAATAAAAATGGACGCTCTCACACACATCACCTCTCCCATGGCCACAGTGTTACGGGTAATGCAGCAGCTGGTGTAGCGGATGGAGGGGCGCCTGCTGACGGAGGTGGAGGCGGAAACGTCGACAGAAGAAACATCTTTAGAAAAAGCTTCACAAAAAACAGCTTTTACATGGGCACAAAAAAGACCAAGGATGATGTGAGAAATGAAAAAAGCACCACGTACATAGAATATGCAATTATTTACGAATGCTGTAATGTGTATAATTTCTTGTGTAATAAAATTGAAGACAGGAACAGAGACATCATTTTATGCCTCATCACAAATTCATTCGACTCGAAGAAGTCTAATATCAATTATGTTATTCTTAACAGCTTAGCTAAATTAAAAATGAATGTGAAAATATATAGCATGCTCGAGAATCACATCATGCATCTGATCAACCTCCTCAACAACGATGATATAACCATTAAATTACAAACATTTAATATCTTATTTAATATGTGTAATAATTCGAATTGGAAGCTCCTCATTAATGTCTTTTTACACCACTTGCCCTATATTGACCCGTACATACAAAATGAGGTCATTATAAAAATTTCCATCCTGGCGGAAAACTGCTCACCAGATTTGTCCTGGTATATTGACGTGATATTTAAAATGATTGAAATTACATATAAGTCCATTTTCCCTGAGGTGTGGTTTCGCTTAGTGCAAATAGTTACTGGCTTCGTTGAAGGGGATAAAGGGGGCAAGGCAGGAGATAATAATAATAAAATCGGCAAGGTGGTAGACAAACAGGACAAAGGAGGAGACAAAATGGATAAAGGAGATAGTCGTGAGAAGGGAGACTTAGGGGGTAAAACGCTCAAGTCTGCAAAGAAGGATAGTGTTTCATCTGAAAACAGTAAAGGGAAAGAGGAACACAAGGTACAGACCTACGCTGCTATGAAGTGTTATAAATATTTATCGGATCGATATACAAAAATAGAGTTGCTGATCCATCTGTGCTCTTACATTATCGGCTCCTTTGGTCATCTCATTAAGGACAAAATACCTATGAGTAATCAGTTGAAGGTATTGGAAACGTATTTTACTCTGGGGTCCTCTAACACCAAGTGTGTGATTCTTATGGCCATCATGAAGATGGTGTTCTACGACAGCAAGCTCATGGGACCGGTGAAGAAAATTCTCACCAACTGTATCAATCACACGGACTTGGAACTTCAGACCAGAGCCTGTGAATTCCTCAACCTTTGTAACTTGAACAACACGAGTGTGCTCAACCATCTACTCAAGGGGATGCCGCTTTACCAAACCAAGAAGGTCCACGAAAATTTCCTCATCAAGCGGCTGCTGGAGAAGAACAAGTGAGTTTTTTCGTGTGGCTAGCCACGTTCTAATACATTACCCGTTGTTGTGCAAATTATATTGTCCCCCACCCCACCCATGACACGAATCCCTGTACATGTGTTTTAATGGCACTTTTTTTTTTTTTTTCCCCCACCACCACCGCGTTGCAGGCACGCCGTGATCGACTTCAACGAAAAGGATAGCTCACTTACATTTGACAAACATCAGGAGAGAGGCAAGTCGGGTAGCAGACACGAGCAAAACTACAAGGACGATAACAGTGCCAGTGACTACAGCCATAATAAGGGCTCTTCTTCCACCTCCTCTGATGGAAGTTATAACGTTAAAGTGAGAAGGAAGCAGAGCAACGGGTCAGTAGCATCATCTGGAAATTCAAAAAAATCGTCTTCCACCTTTTCCACACACAAAACAAAAAACTCAAGTGAGGAGCATACAGATGATAATGCGAAGCTCTTTAAGTCACTCGCCTTGCAGAAGGCAAACAACATTAACGACCTGTGGTTCAATGCCTGCCTCCTAGACAAGTCCCTCTTTTTTAAGAACACCGTTTTATCTATTCTAATAAAACAAAAGTACCAGGAGAACAAGGCCATGCTCACCTTTTACGTGAAAAATATATCCAAGGCAATGGTGAACCTAGCGAGGTAGGTGCCCTCCTCTGGGGGCAAAGCACATCCCTATTCCTGTTGTGAACCGTCTTACGTAAAGACGATGCTGGTGGTGCCATGCCGCAGTTCATGCCTACTCCACTTCATTACACCATGCTGCTACACCACGTCGCCTGTTTTTACCCTCCCGCAGCATCCGCATTGAGGATTGCGAGCATATGAACATAAAGGAAGCCAAAATTGTGATGAACGAGAAAATAGACCCGGATGGGGTATACGTGTATAAAATTATAATTACTATTTCAGATATTTTTTACAACATCCCCAGTATATACTTCAACGTCATGACCCCGAACTCGACGGTAAGTGGCGCGCTCCACGAGGACGACGTTCACCTGAGCGAAGCTCACCGGTGTGACGCCCCAACATGGTTAATTATTGCATGCCCAGCACGATTAATATGTGTGTTTGCCCACCACCTTTTTGCAGAACGCGAGTGTGTCGTCCAAGCTGCCCATCCTCATCACGCGCTTCATCAAGGAAAATAAAATGAACGAGTCGACCTTCAAGATTTACTGGAAGGCCCTCACGCAGGTGCACAACGAGGACATCGTAATGGGCGTCCCCAAATTTTCCAAAAAATATTTTTTCAACTATCTGATCAACGCGTTTAACTTTTACATTTTGAAGGTAATTCGAGAGGGTGGAAAATGGCGCCATATCTAGTGCGGGGCGCTACACTTACAGGATGGCACAGCTACGTGTGCACACCGCGTCACCATCGCCGTATCACCATCGCTGAGTTACATGACCGCGTCACTTTTTTTTCCCCCACCCCTGCAGATCGGCTCGCTTATTTGCGCCTCCGGCTACATACACTTTCCCGTATCGGACAGCGAAAACAAAATTTTAATTCTCGTGAAGATTCGGCACGACATGAAAGGGTAATGTGGAGCGGATCCACGAGCACTCTGCGCCATGCGTGCAGATCCACCGTTGTGCTCGTCCAAATAAATATGAACACGTGCAGGCAAACAGACAGCACATTTTTGATTTTTTTTTTTTTTTTTGTCCTCCCGTAGGTGCCAAATCTCAGTCGTGTCCAGCATCAAGCACTTGAACAACTACCTGAACAAAATATTTGAAATTTATCTTATGAAGAACAAATAGGGATGGAGAAAACTCGCATGGGAAATGCCGCAGCTCATGTAGCTATATGCGCACCTACAACACGCATGTTTAATTTTTTTTTTCTTTTTTTTTTGTGCGCTGAAGGGGATACCAAATTTGGCTTGCATTTATGGCAGCTATTTTTGGGGGGATGAGCGGTGGAAGAGGAAGAGCTGCCGAGCTCCCCTTTTGTCACTCCGCGGCATCGTGTCCATTGTGTGATTTCCGGTTGATTTGTTTGTTTTTGCGTTTGTACCACATGGACGCTTGTGCCGCTACCCCACGTGGTGATTACTACCTATGTATCATTTCGTGTCCCCTTTTCTGCACACATATTTATTTATTTATTTTTTTTTTTTTTTTTTTTTTTTTTTTTTTTTTTTTTTGGAAAACTTTAATTTTT